GGAGAACAGCCTTTACCCAAGGTGTTGTCATGGACTTTGAAGAAGCACAAACTGAGGAAGAAAGGGAGACATGAGCTAAGAGGAAGGCAGTTTGGCAAATCCTCACCGTGATCAACTCCCACCCAGAAATCTATGTCTCCATTGTGGAAGGATGTGTGGATCCAGAATTGGCCTCCACAGTTACCTACGGATACACCATTAAGACTATGTTCATGGAAGACAATCTTACTCGGCTAGGAGTGATTGCCAAAGAAGAAGACGAGTGCATTTCCTTACATCTTTCACTCCCTCAATATTAACTACCAGCATTGAACCTCTGAATTATGTATTAGATTTTGAGTGGGGTGAACTGCTAAATAGTTTGGCCATTTCACAGGTGGCACAAGGGAGTTGCCACTGGGGATATCTAAGAAAACTTGGATGTTGTATGTAGGGGCTTCAGACCCCTGTTTTCGAATCTATTAGTTTGTATAAGCTACACATTTCTTGTGTTTCTGTTTCTGAAAGAATTTTAATTCTGCTTAGCATCTGTTAGACTGACACTTGACTAGCGCTAAAAATATACAAGGGTTCACAGCATCACGAACAAAACCTCACTGCATGTAGCTATTGAGATGGTACCCTTGATTGATTGAGGGCCGGGGGGAAGTTGCCATGCAATCACAGTCACAAAGGGATATCCCGTTCATCACCACTATGCAGAATCTAGTTACATATGATCACAGCTTTCTGTCTCTCATGGAGTTTCAATGCTTTGTATGCCTGATAAGAATAACCTTTATAACAAAATCTATGTACACCCAGACACTACATATATCTGCTTTCCCTGTTCTCCCTCTTTTGTCTATTCATGGTTCCCTGACATCCACAGGGGTGCCCACTTTGTATTCCCCATGTGGCAGTGGGCGAGGGAGCTGGCCAGCCCAGGCACTGGTGTGCCCACGTCAGTAGACGTTGCCTGTGCCATAGCCTGGCCTGTTCCCAGAGAGAACTTTCTCTGGGCAGCCCAGGATGCTAGACAGCAGCAAGGAGGGTCAGGAGGATTTTCATTGCACCACTCTCCCTATGATGTGCTCATCACTGCTCTACATGGAAGTTAACTTCTGGGAAGAAAACATATGTTAATGGTGCTGTGAACTTTTTGCCTTCCTCATACACCTTAATAAATGCGTTAAAAAAACACACTAGAGTTAATGGGTTTGGGGGAGACGTTCAGAGAGGTATAAACACAATTTACTCTGAACAGCAAGCAAAACTGATTATAAATAATGATATAACAGAAAACTGTAAAATAATGAAGGGAATGAGGCAGGGATGCCCACTGTCCCCATTACTATTTATACTGGTCTTGGAAACCCTGACAAGGAAAATAAGAGCAGAGGGTATAAGGGTAGGAAATAAATCTTTTAAAATAAAAGCATTTGCTTATGATCTTATAATAACAACAGAAAGTCCAAAGGAAAGTTTGCCAACTCCAGACTATGGCATTTGGTCAGGTGGCAGGTTTCAAACTCAACAAAAATAAAACCAACTTGTTGGTGGAAAATATGGTAGAACAAGATAAAAATGAGCTACATTTTTTGGTATGACAATAAGTAAAAAAGTCAAATATTTAGGAGTATGGATTACAGTGAAAAATATTAACTTATTTAAAGACATGCTGGCCACATGATCTGGAAGCTGTACACCGGCTCCCTTGGCCAATAAAGCGAGATGAGTGCCGCATCCCCAGAGTCGGCCACGACTGGACCTAATGGTCAGGGGTCCCTTTACCTTTTTTTACTTAATGACATAAATAAAAAGAAATCTGGAGATCTGGGGCAGAATGAATCTATCATTCTGGGGGAGGATCTCTATGATAAAAATGAACGTGCTACCAATGATGTTGTTTTTGTTTCAATCAGTTCCAGTGATCAGTGGGGTGGGTCCGTTCAAAGATTGGCAAAGAGACATTTCAAAGTTTATTTGGTGGGGGGGGACGGACCTAGAATTAAACAGAAATTACTAACAGAAATTAAAGATAGGGGTGGCTTCTCACTACCAGATCTAATACTATATTACGAGGCATCCTGCCTCTGCTGGATCAGGGAATGGATACTTTTACAAAACACAGATATGCTAGATTTAGAGGGTTTCAACAACAGATTCGGTTGGCACACGTACTTATGGTACAAAAAAGCCAAAGTACACAGAGGGTTCCTGAATCATGTGTTATTATTATTATTATACATGGTATGGAATAAATATAAGAATTTGCTAGAACAAAAAAGGCCCTGGTGGCTATCACCGCTTGAGGCAATTTCAGTAAAGAAAATGAACATGAGCAAAGACTGGGCAACTTATAAAGGACTTCTTAAGGAAGAGGACCAGTTAAAATGGAGGGGGGGTAACTGTTTAACTCACTGGTTACAATATCACCAGTTGAATGATATATTCAAAGCAGATTTTTTAAAAAGACTTCCCCACTAAGTTATCGAGATTTGAGGAGTTAATACCAAGTAAGGGGGAACTACTTTCCAAAATGTATAGGATCTTGCTAGATTGGTCGGTGAAAGACGAAGAAGTAAAATCAGTGATGATTCAATGGGCCAAAGATTTTGGGTATAACATTCAAAGGTCAGCCTGGGAAAAACTCTGGAGAGAGGACTTAAATTTTACTGAGTGTTACACTTTGAAAGAAAACTACATGAAGATGCTCTATTGCTGGTACTTGACACCCAGTAAGCTAGTGAATATGTACAGAACCAGCTCCAACTTGTGTTGGAAATGAAAAGAAATAGAAGGAACTATGTATCATATGTGGTGAAAACGCAAAAAGATAAAGGAATTTTGGGAAATGATCTACAACAAGCTAAAAAAAATGTTTAAATTAAACTTTCCCAAATAACCGGAAGCCTTTCACCTCAGGATCATAGGTGTAGAGTTACCAAAAGACTTAAGGAGATTATTCATGTATGCCACCGCAGTAGTGAAAATGTTGTTAGCCCAAGGTTGGAAAGGACAAAACCGACAAAAATGAAATGGCATACAAAATTATTTAAGTACACTGAAATGGCAAGATTAACAGGGAAAGTTAGATTAAAAATTCAATAGAGAATGGGATAAATATAGACAATATGTAAAAGATCACTGTAAGCATGTAAAATCTTTGGCGGGCTTTGAATGACTTCTGCAATGTGAAATAACTCTTAGAAGCATTGGATAATTGTAAAATAGATGCTGTTCAATACGCAGTTGATATAGTTACACAGAGAACCCAGGTTGGGGAGGAGGGAAGCCTCAATATGGGAAAACCTTATTTTCTTTCTTTCTTTCTTTTTCTTCTCCCCCCCCCCCCCCAAGTATACTACTAATGGAGAGCTATAACTGTGATTCACTGTATAAAATCAATAAAGATCAAATATTAAAAAATAAAATAAATGCATTAAATTGCCAATGCTTTCATTGCGGGTAGCAGAGGCACTAGGCAGGATTAATAGTCTACTGGGGATCTTGCACAATGGCTGATGATCAGATCCCCACACAATGCCATGTCACACTCTGGTAAGATGTAACCAAGAGCAGTTGTCACCCATTTTTAACCCACACCTGCCTCTATTGCTTCTGAACTATATTACCCCTGTTACCAGAATTTATGGAAAGGTTGGGGGGGGGTTGCCACTCCAGCGGACATCATACACACACACCATGACTATCGAAATCAACAAATCACTCCTGCAGATGTCCCCACAAAGCACTTCATCACAAAGTCCCCTCCCCCATCTCTATTCAAAGGGCCTCCGCTACACATTATCAAATGTAGCAATTCACTGATAAATGTATCTATGTGATGGCTCAATGGGAAAACTTTACAAAGTCATATAAAATTGCTCCAGTATAGGATTTTCGATGTTCCAACTTTGTTCTGTTCAGGAAAGAAACGGCTATGAAGGGGGGAGCCTGGGACGTGGGCAGGGTCAGCCATAATCCCTGAAGCCTGAGACCACATACTCAGCAGCTCCTTTCCTAGATGTTAATTGCTGGCATCCTGGCCCCAGAATGTCAGACAAGTGGCCATCTCAAAGACAATGGTGAACCCAGCCAAAATGGGTTGGGAACTCAGTCAGAACAAAAGAGCGTACTTAACATGACCGGGAGAACAGGAGCATGTACATACCTTTTGTTTTACTTAATGGGTGTGAGGTGGAAGTCAAGGAAAAGATGGGGGCAAACCTGTTGCTCAGGTTTCTGCTGGAAACCCCTTCCAGATTGTGACATAACTATGATGTATTTGTGATATATGCATGATGCTTCACCTAGGGGATTGTGGGTAAATGGGGGGAACTTATAAAAGAAGGAGACATCCTTTCCATGTGGTGGGTGGAAGTCCTGTTGCAGTCTTTTGAATAAAGATCAGATCTACTGGCTGCTGTTTTGCTCCTCTATTCTTGGCTGGTGTCTTTGTTTGGCAATCCAAGTGAGCCCAGGGATTTTCCTATAACACCCCTAACAACACCCCTCTCTCCATGTGGTGTGGAACTCAAGAGTCTTTGCCTAAATTTCAAGCTGCAAATGGCTAAGGAGTAAGTGGACTATTAACAGGTCCACTAACAGATAATCTAAAGTTATCTCGTCTGCAGCTTTACCTGAACAATCTTGTTTGCAAATTAACCAGCTTCAAGACTATTCATTCATAATAGTTAGTAAAGAGAAGGCAAGAAGAAGCATGACTCTGAAATCCAATTTACAAATTAAAATATAATTTGCGTTTTGGGTTAAGTGTTATCTTACTTGAGGCCAACAGAAGATTCTCCCATTTCTCTGCTTTATCTGGAGCTTATGCTAAATATGCCTGCTGTGTTTTCATTGTTGATAACAAATAAAGAGTGGGGCAACTGCGCTCTGCAAATGAAAATACACTTTGCAATTAGATGCTTTTCCTTACAGATCAGACTCTTGTCCTACAGGATATATGCCAATGTGATGCCAAAGAAAGACAAGGGGGGAAACAAAAACACATTTCAACTGACCTGTTTTTCATTTTCATCCTCCAGCTTCAGCCTGTCCTCTATGCAGTTCCTGGCCTGAAGGAATGCCTTTCTTTGTGCCCTCTCTGTCAAAATCCTCACAAAGACCCCATACAAATTTACACTGACAAAAAGGATAGCATTGGCCACAAGCTGTAAGAGAAAAGAAGGGGACAAAAGAGATATATTATAATTCAGACACTCTCACATATCACTATCAATCACCATTCTGACTAAAATCCAGTTTATTTTCACAGTATTATTTTGCAGTAGATCTGTCTTGCTGCTGGGTCAGATCACTGCTCCATCCAGTTCACTCTTGTCTTCCTCAACTGACGGCACTTTGTCAGGTTCCCAGGAGTTTCCCCAGCCATTGCTAGCCCTTTTTACTGGAGATTCCAGTGATTGCATGTGGGCAGTGGCAGAGCATGCTTTAACCGTACCCAAGGTGCAGGGGGCAAAAGGAGCCCACTGTTGTAAAATAAAAAATATGCCCTTTTCCCTTATGGGGTATCCAAGAGCCCATATAGAGTCCTTACATAAGTTCCCTATTGGTAGGAGAGAACAACAGAGGCCAACCAGAGAATATTGAGAAGCAAAGCAGCTAGTAAGCCTGATCTTTATTGATCTGTTGCAACAGGGTGCTCCCCTCACATGCAGGAAAGGTGGAGGACCCCCAAAATTGCTGTGCAAGTGCTTATAAAGACTTTTGAAATTCCCATCCTCTAGATCAAGACCACCCCCAGAAACATTATGCATACATCACAGAAGGGGTGTAACCTAAGACCACCCCTCAGATACATCCCACCTACATCACAGAAATTTTAATATTGTTTTTCTCCTGTTGTTGTTTATCTCCTGTCTAGCAGGTTACTTGATTGGATTTCCTGGGGAGCCTGGCCATTCTTTTGTAGTGGTAAAATACTTATTTCCTGGGCCAGGTCACAGGCTCACACCTTATTCAAACAGACATATCCTTGAGACAGGATTTGTGAGGAAAGAGACAATGGGGAGGCTTTTCCAGGTTAACCTTGCAGAGAAAGGATTTGGTCAGTTTAGGAATCAAAATGGTTCCAGGTTGGTCTTCCTGTGTTGATCTATGTATGTGCAGTTATGAACATTACCATATATCTAAGACCATAAAATTCCTATCACACCACCATGTGCCAGCCCAGCCCCTGCCACTGAAGGGACACCACACACCAGCCCCAAGCTGATCCCAGTGTCACGAAATGGCTTGGGGGCTGGGGTTGTGTGAGGAGGCTGAGATCAAAAGGCGCATGGAATCCTTCTCGCACCACTCCCCCAGGCCACTTGGAGAGTCTGGGATCTGCGTTTTTACATTGTGCATTTTTCATTGTGTCATCCCTCCCCCGTTGCCGCCACCAAGAATGTATCAGGCTGCAACTTAACTGACTGCGGATGAAGTGGTTTGGCACACACATTGGGTGAGCATTCTAATTTCTGGGCTTACTGAAAATGACATCAGAGTGAACCCGGCAGTGGAGATTCCTATGACTTACATCAGATAGGGGGATCGCCACCTCTAGGAGGTCCCTTTAACAGGATACCCTATTTCTGGAGGGGAAAGTGAGAGTACAACCCCCCCTCCAACCAACGCTAAGGTTACCCAATGCCTAAACTGCCAAAGTTGTGACAATTGCTACAAGGTAGGCAAAACGCCCAGCTCATAGCCAATTTGCCTGATAGGCAAATTCCTACCCGGCCCCGAAAATATGGTGACCACCGCAGCCATAGAAAGGTCAATTCAATGAGTAAATGCAAAATTACAGGAGTGGGTGGGTGGGTTGATCCGGCAAAGAAGAGCTGGGTGTCGAAGGCTGGCGTGGGCTGCTTTAAATCCCCTGGGAGCAGATTTGAGGGAAGCCTGATTATTGCCTCTAGCCCCCCCCCCACCTTTGTGCCAGCCTGACATTGGCCAATTTGGCATGCTGCGCAGAGCAGGATTTCAAGCCAGGAGCACAAGCCAAAGCTCACACTCTGGCAGGGATCAGACCCTGCCACACAGCTCTACATCATTGGGAGGGGGACACTGTCTGTCCCGCAAACCAGCCGCACCCCTAAAAGGGGGTAAGCAGACCTCTAGAGACAGATAAGCAGAGAAATGTAGTAGAGTGGACGCCACAACTGTATGTGTGTCTGCAAATAACAAAAATATTTTCTAAAAAGATACACCTCAAAGAAGCTGACATCAAAGGGAATTTTCCCCCACATGGCTTTCAAATCTGAATAAAGAGCTTTAACAAGAAACCTGTATTATACCTCATATTTTATCATAATTAAAATCCAAATCCAAAGCGGATTTTTATGTGGGGAGCAGATAGGCACTTCACTTCTCAACTGCATTGCTTTTTCTATTCCTTTCAAGACATGCTCTATAGAGAGTTTATAATCTCCTCTGGCTTTATCCCAGTTAGCATAATGAGCTAATTCCTTCAGATGCATTACCTGAGGAGTGCAGCATAAGGAGCTATTTGCTATTGCAGGCTATAATTAGAGTGCATTATACTCTGGAAAATGTTATTTTGAAATACATAAATAAATTTCAGAATATGAGACTAAAATTAGTTCTGGTTTCTAAACAACCTCCCAGTCCTGCACTTGGATATGATGCAGCTGCTGAAGCAGCACATTAATAAGTATATTGGGCTCTTGGGGTCAATGCAAGGAGATTTTACCAGGAGAGCCGTGGCAGGATTTGCATGGCAGCAAAGAGATTTCCGCAGAGGGGACACAGCTTACTTCTGAACCCAAAAACAGAACTGGACAGAAGCCGTGTCCAAGAACTTTTGCTGTACTGTAGTTAAGATATGATACCTCACAATAAAGAGAAATATAGGACTAGGTTCAGTTATTTCTAAACACAGCCTGAATGACAGTATTATTTTCAATTAAATCTAATTGCAGTCTGCTTAAGGCATGTATAAGCTACTCCCTTCCATTTGGGGCCAGATGGAGCTCATGAGAACCAGAACAGAAACATGCAAGTTGACACCCGGGCACTAGTTGGGTGCCCATGGGGTGGCCGTGGTCTGGGTTCGAGGATGAGGCAGCCCTCATGTAAAGGGACTCCGGACTGGGACCAATCCTCTCATGGGCCATTGGGCCATGGAAGGGCAATGATAATATGATACTGTGATTCAAGGAACAGAGGAAGGGATGCAATGCTAACATCACCCATTCTGAGGAGAGGAGTGGGGGGAGTGCAAGTTTCCAAAGTTTCACTATGACCAAAGCATTTAGGGTCACAGCCGTTTCGTTTTCCTATTCTGTGGTGAGGCAAGGCATGGTTTGGGCCGTGCCTTGCCTGCACAGAGCTCGGATGTTGCTTCAGCAAGAAATAACCTGAAACCTGAAATAATAATAATATTCTTTTTTTGTACCCCACCCATCTGACTGAGTTGCCCCAGCCACTCTGGGCAGCTTCCAACATATATAACAACATTATTCCTTAAAAAGCTTCCTTATACAGGGCTGCCTTCAGATGTCTAGCAGCAACATCCTATTTGTTAATCGGTGTTGTCCCCCCAACTGGAAGGTGCTGCTTTAGGTGAAGGGGTCCAGCCCTCTCCTGTAGTCTCCAATGGCAATGGGACAAGGGCTCCTCTGGCCTCACTCCTGCTACGAGGTCCTTGGGCTCGAGGGGTGCAAACCAGGCAGGCTTCTGCAGTAGCTGCACTTCCAGGGCTGACTATGGGAGCCGTTTCTGAAGGCCAGAAACTCATTCCCACAACTGACACCCCCTCCCCCCCAAAAAAGCTCACACAACTGTCATATTAAGCCTGCTAATAAGTTCATGGATGCAGTTAACACAGTACTTCCCAACAATATGAAGCCAATTCCATAAGGAAGCCAAAGCAATTTGCAGAAAATATGGGTGGTGTCTAGTATTCTTTTTTGTGATGTCAGGCGTACAGGGTTGCCTATGCTGCCAAACTTGGCTCCTATCCACCTTGGCCCTCAAACACTCCACTGCCTTCCTGGCCTCTGAAAAAGGCCCAGGACCATCTTGCTCAGACATCCAGGGCAAGCTAGTCAGGCAAATGCCTGCACCACTGCCACAGTTTCCAACAGGGGCTAAAAAGTATTTTTTTAATGTGGATTTTTTTGAAAAAGCTTCTTAAAAGATCAACCCATCCTAGCTGCCCTGGCAAACCACAGTGATGGCACAGGCCTTCTCCCGGCCTTCTCTCTCAGCAGGCTTGGCTCTGAAGAAGAGCCCTTGATGGGCTTTCCCCAGAGACCAGGTGTTGAGGCAGCAGAAAAGCAATGAAATGTGCTTGGGGGGTGCTTTATAAGAGATGGGACAGAGAGAGAGCAAGAGGCTGGGGGGATGGCAGGGGAAGAAGAGCAGGGTGGTAGCCTTGCTACTGTAGAGAGCAGAGGGTTGTGGGGCGGAGCAGCAGCAGGGCCCCCATGTGAACTGTGCCAGGGGACCCTGATGTCTGGCTCAGCACTGCTGCCAGTGCTCAGAGTGGTATACAACAATAACATACCATATTTTTTGCTCTATAAGACTCACTTTTTCCCTCCTAAAAAGCAAGGGGAAATATGTGTGCGTCTTATGGAGCGAATGCCGGCTGTGCAGCTATCCCAGGAGCCAGAACAGCAAGAGGGATTGCTGCTTTCACTGCGCAGTGATCCCTCTTGCTGTTCTGGCTTCTGAGATTCAGAATATTTTTTTTCTCGTTTTCCTCCTCCAAAAACTAGGTGTGTCTTGTGGTCTGGTGCGTCTTATAGAGCGAAAAATATGGTAAATATAGCAATACAACAATTGCTAGATGCAACAATGGAATTTTAAAATTCTCCTTTCATTTTCATTTCAACAGAGATCAAAGTTTAAGCACACTGATTATTTCTATAATTCTGTTCAGGTTTTATGGGGATTACACAATTATATGTTCATTTCCACTTCTGTATGCATTATGCACTCTGACCTTTTAGCAACCACAAAGCCATAAATACAGCTAGCTGTTTTTTCTGTATTCAAGCATAAAAGGTAGATGAAGGGATCACAAATGACAACTTGAAAGGATATTTTATTGCCTTCAGATCCAGTACATTTTAACTTCTCACTTGCTTAGCTTTGTTATTAATCTGATGAATAATGGCTATTTTTCTTAAAATCTGAAACACTGTGTCATGCAGTGTAGAAATGAAACACTTTGGCAGGGCAGGGGCAGGGGAGCTTTGCTTCACGACCCCCTCCAGTCAGCCACCTTCCAGCCTTCCATGGATGAGTCTCATCCCAGCAGGTTTCAGCAATGCCTGCTAGGTCATATCTGCCACACAATCACAGTAATAGAACCAGAAAATCATAGAGCTGGAGGGGTCCCAAGGGTCATCTAGCCCAGCCCGTTGCAATGCAGGACTCTCGACTAAAGGATGGAGTAGCTCCCTTGATGAATAAAGGTTGCAGAGTTTGGGACTTTTTAGTTTAGAGTAAAGGCAAGGAAGAGGCAAGTTTATAAAATTATGCCTGACATGGAGAAAGTGGAGGGAGTTTTTCTTTTCTCATAATACTAGAAGTCGTGGACATTTAATGGAGCTGAATGTTGGAGGATTCAGAGCAAAAGATCAAAGAAAGTACTAATGTTGATCTTTCCCCCACAGGAGGCAGCCATGGTCACCAGCAGAGATGCTTTTACAAGTGGATCAGGCAGATCCAGGGAGGAGAGAGCCACTGCAGGCTGCTGGCCAGGATGTCTCTGCTCTGCCTCCCAAGTCAGACACAGCCACTCCTTTGGACAGGAAATCACAGGAGGGGAGAGGGCACTTGTGCTTGGATTCTGAGTTGTAATTTTAAGTGCTTTTAAATTGTTTTACTGTTGTGGTAATACTGTGTTTAAATATTAACGTTGTGTTTTAATCACTGTCATCTGCCCTGGGACCTTAGAGTGAAGGGCAGGTGTTAAATTGCAATTCTCATCATCTGTTTGTCTATTGTGAGAACAGGATGCTCTTCTAGATGAGCCTCTGGCCTGATGCAGCAGCCTCTACACATGTACCCCATATAGGAGTTCCCACTCCCTTAAAAAATTACGTTTCAGTATAGATTTTAGTAAAAAGTGAGCAAATACCAGCTGTGTTTGGCTTTCCAGGGTCCGGAAGCACAAACACCTTCCTTGATATTCTGGTAGCATCTGCTGTTTAGTTGGTCTGAGAATTATTTCTCTTGGGAAGCTCAAATGCTGGCTCAGCCAAACCATAACTGCTGGCTCAGCTGTCAGGCTTGCCCTTCTTTTTTATGAGTCAGGCAGATTCTCCGTATTTTAATTAATGAATGTTTAAAAGCACTGCAAACATTTATCTCTTCATTTGCCACCTTATTCTTCTAATAAAAGAATATTTCTTCAGTGCAAAATTCCTTCAGATATTGGATGGGTGGGATTTCTTGGTGACATAACTGGGAGGATAGCATAATGCACTTGTAGTTCAAATTGCGGAATAATTTTGTTCTGTTTTTCCACACCTCAACCTTACATGGGAGAAGTACATTTTGAATAAACTAGGTGATGGCATATCCAGGTCAGCTTCACTGCTCTGAATGTTTAATGGATCTTCACCCTACTTTTTATATTTGCTGGCACATAGCCTTCAAGACTTAGGAGTGCAGTTTAGTGGTTGCTCTTGTCTCTCTGCTCATAACAAGCTCTTTCTTGTACCGACTGCTTGCCACCTTAACTGCTTTCATTTAATTTCATTTCACTGCTAATTTGTATACCGCCATTCCTTACAGAAGGTGGCTACAAGCTTAAGAAACAACAAGATCTGCAACCCAAGAACACACTTCTTATAACAATCTGATCCAATACAAACAAGTCATAATAAAAATATGAATTTAAAATAAACAAATTGTTTATAATAAAAGTAATAGACTATTGGGGGGTTATTGTTTTGTGCATTATACTGGAAACTGCACTGTGATCCTCAGATGAAGAGTGGTATATAAATTTAATGAGAGAGAAAGAATAACTTTATTGTGTACTATTCTATCAGCAAATAATAAACAGAAAATAACTCTCAAAAATTACAATAAATCATTACTAAACTATAATCAACAAAAGTAGCCGCAAGTCACAATTCATAGAGCCCCACTATATATATATATATATAAACTGTGCAATGCCGCTTCTCAGCTGGGCTGGGCCGAGCATGTGGGAGGCAAGGCTCTTCTGCGCTCCTTTGCACTTCCCAACCAATGGCAGAATTCCCCGCTGAACATACATTTTCATCTCTCATGGATGTACACACTACGCAACCATAGTTTTGAACAGTGAGCAACTTTTGCCATGTAGTTGCTTAAATAGTTGTTGGAATGAGGATTTTGGCAAAATGAAAATTGAAGTTTTTTTATCCCCGCCTTAAATGGGAATCTTTGTCAAAAGCAGAGCCGAATGGAGAAGAAAGTGCTGGAGGTTTTCCCAGCAGACACTTCATAGGGATGGCTCTATTAAGGAGAGGGTTAGAATGACTTTTCCTACCAAGCAGCTAATGTGAGATTACCATTCTCCATCTAACTATGAGAGAGGTACCAGACAAGTAAATGACATTATTCTGGAAATTAAAGAACTGGTGGTTGAAATAAAGAATATGCTTAATCCAGTCGTAGGAGAGCTTGCCCCCACTTAGAGATTTCACCCATCCAAAAGAAGAAAAAGGTCCCTAGGGCTGACAGGGATGATGAATTTGATTAAATTTGATTAACTTAAAATTGTTGTTGAGTATGGATGTGAATCCTGCTGAGCTAGTTCCAGATATAGTCTCCTTAGTGGATGGCCCAGCTGTGCCACAGTCGTTTGCAGGAAAACCTACTTGCAAGGACTGTAAGGTCAGAGTTGGGAAGGTCAGAAGGGGAAGAGAATCTCTGCCATCTGCAGAAGAGGATGGACCAGCCAAGTAAACACAGTTCAGAGTAACCTCTTCTAAGAGAGGTAGTAAGAAAGGTCAGGGTAAAGCTCAGAGACAGCAATGCAAGAAGGATGGCAGGGTGAATTTTAACCTGCTCTTTAAAATTATTGATCATATGAATGCTCTGGGTGAGGCTGAATATGATAAAATGAAACAAGAAGACAACCAGAGGAATGTCTCACCCAAAGAGTCCCTGGGGGAGCGACAGGTCAGTCAGGAAATTTAAGGCTGACAGCAATGAAGTGAGAGATCCTGTACAAATAAATTCTACCAAGGTATTAGCAGCAGAGAACAAAGTTGACTGTGATGTTCAGCTGACATCATGGGAATGTCAACTAATAGAAGTTAAACTTAAACCTCAGTCAAGGAATATCTGTAAACAATCCTATGCCTGTTTCGATTCGGAATAGAGACAAGGTTTTTAGGTTGAGGAAGGCAAGAAACAGAAGGCAGAGTAAAAAAGTACACATCTGCTTATAGGGATACTAACACATTACCCACTTTTGGAAAACTCCCCCTGTGGGATAGGATTGTACAGAGTGGAGAGAGCCAGTGGCCTGAAAGCACCTGGGTGGCAGAATGAAGATTGAACAGATGCTGTGAATTCAGGGTTTAGGAATATTAACCTCATTTCATGGAATATAGCAGGGTGGGCAAATAAACTGATGAATTTTACTGAATATCTTAAACAGTTCTTGGGTAAAAGAAATAACAAATACAAGGATATGCTATCTATTCCCAACCAGCTATCAGAGTTAATAGAAGAAGCAAAGATTGAGAGTCTCTTGGTGTCTCAACAAGTGTAAATGTGAAAGCAGAGGAAATTGTATCTCTCCTCCCAGAATTCCAGTGGTCCAGCTGTCTAGTGATACCGAGTTTAAAATACTCTGTGTCAATGTTCACATAATCCCAAAGCCTCTATGCACTCCGGCAGCAACTTACAGGCCTTGTTAGACGCTGCTGCTGCTGCTGTTTTTGTTATTGGTATTATTATTATTATTGGTATTAATATTATTATTATTATACCCTGCCCATCTGGCTAGGCTTCTCCAGCCACTCTGGGTGGCTTACAGCATATATAAAAACATAGTAAAACCTCAAACATTAAAAAGTTCCTGATACAGGGCTAGTTATTTATTGCCTTGACATCTGAAGGGAGGGCATTCCACAGGGAGGGTGATGGTAATAATAATAATAATAATAATAATAATAATAATAATAATAATAACAACAACAAGAAGAAGAAGAAGAACAATAATAATAATAATTTTATTAATTTAGAGAAAATTACAGAAGAATATTCATTAACAACTATTGCTGTGATGGGTGATTTTAATGCCAGAATTGAAGGTGATAACATTGTTATGGCTGAAAGAATTGGTATGTTGCATGAGTGTTTGAAGGAGTTATCCACTAGACTATCAAATGATCAGATCATCAATGAAGCAGGGATCAACCAGCTAATTATCTGCAATGGTACAGGGGTGAGTGACTCTGAAGGACAGTTTACCTTCTCCTCCATCAGAGGTGGCAGTGTAATCAATTACATGTTATTGTTCAGCCGCTGCAGTTTTTTATTTTCAGAATTTTTGTGGGGGTGAAAAACCAGAAAGTGACAATCAGCGCTATTTTTCCAGAAAAAGAAGTACTGGAACTCATCATAAATGCCTCCCTTGTTTTTTTATAATGTCAATGGCGCCCACCTGAGAGGTGCTGGAACTGAGTTCCAGCGAGTTCCAGCTTTAAAAAAGCCCTGGTGATCGTCAACCATTGATCGTTGTTAGAACTGAGGCATGTTATTACATCAGTAGCCTTAGAAGCCAAACAAACCACAGCATACATATGAAGTGCTCAGCACAGTTTCCAATGGGATGCTAATCTACAAGGAAGAATGGAAAATATTCTACTTAGTCATGAAGTGATCTAGTGGGGGAAGGAGTTCTTGAGGGAGGAGTTTAAGGTATTGGAGAAATATGATTAACTTATTCAAAAATGGAAGCCAGTGCTAAATAAAACTAGCACAGCTGGGGATATATCCACTAAACAATGGTATGATGAGGAACGTAGGAAAAGGAAGCAAGGACTAAATAGACCAGCAAAACAGGCTAGACAATTGGGTTATAAAATGCTGGTAATTGAAATGGTGCAACAATAATTGCTAAAGGAGAAAAAATGCTTCATTGTAAACAATTTTGGCATGAATTGGAACAAGCTGCAGTTGGGAATGATACTGTTAAATTTTGGGCCTTAGTAGTACAAAAATCTAAGCAATGGAAAGCTGAGGTTCATGTGCATATTCTGGCTGATAAGTGGGAAGTCTTTTATAACCAAGCTTTCAATTACAATTTCTTAATGTTGAAGTATGTTATGGCACCTGCTTCCCATAATTGAATGAAATGCAAGGTTTGGAATATATAACACACAAAGTGTCTATGAGCTGCTCCTAGTTAAAGAAATCTCCATAAATAAATATTATTAGTTTCATAGTCTGATCATATGCAATTTTACTCAACGATGTCCTGTTTTCTGGTCAGACTGCATTAGCAAATTAACAAAATAATTAACTTGGTAATTTTGCATAAATTTGCATGACAGTAAAAATGTTAGTTCAGAGGGAAAAGAAGCATGCATTGTTTTAAGATGATGGATACATCATTTTTTAAAACAATACAATAGGTATTGTCTTAGATTAGGCATTCTCTCTTGGGTGTGAGAGAGGAGGGATGTATTGCCTAAAATAATAGATGACACTTGGTTTCTATGAGTAGAAATAATATACATGTTTTTAATTTGCTGGTTGACTAACTAGGGGAAAATTTTAATTCATTTAAAATGCTTCTAGCTGATTAATCAAATAATCAACTCCCTGCTGCAGTCCTAAATGTATTATATCCATATGCTTCTTCTTGGAATATAATCCACATTTTACTTGCTAGTAACTGTGATAGACTATGCTTTCCTATTGGAAAGGGTAGCCGGGGGAATGAGTCTGAGCCTTGAATCTTCCAGACTTACCACCTCTCCGGAAAACCATTTCTTCTCTTGAAAATATCCAGGTAACTGTCTTAATTTGTATGTGGCTTCATGAGGTCTCCAGAGGTGGCATCAGGACGGTGGGAGAAAGAGAAGGAACACACAAACACCTGAGATTGCTAAAACCACTGATTTTGAGTCCAGAACACTTGGATACGATTGGGAACCAGGCAGAGGGCCTTCTCGGTGGTGGCACCTGCCCTGTGGAATGCCTTCCCATCAGATGTCAAGGAAATAAACAACTATCTGACTTTTAGAAGACATCTGAAGGCAGCCCTATTTAGGAAAGTTTTTAATGTTTGATGTTTTGTTCTGTTTTAAATATCCTGTTGGAAGCTGCCCAGAGTGACTGGGGAGGCCTGGCCAGATGGCGGGGTATAAGTAATAAATTATAATTATTATTATTGAATGAAAAGAGGACAGTCATTAAACATTGCTTTGCTACGCTGAAAGGAGGATAAGCACAAGAGATCCATGAGAACCTATCCGGAAATTTTCTCTCGCTTTTTAATAATTTTAAAAATATAATTGCTTTTCTAATAAATTGGTGGGAAACAATAAAAGAAAGTAAGAGAAATTATCAGCACAGCACAAGACTGTACTCAGACAGGTAAGCTCAGATTTCAGTGCAGGTAAGCAACTGGCCTTCAAATTATCCAAGACAAATCAGTGAGCAGGTCCAAGTATCACATGACCATCTATTGTAGAAGTGAGGCCTATGACCTATTTGCTTGATCCTTAATCCACGGCTCTCAAGATCGCCCAGTATTAAATATATTTTTGAGAGATGTAATAATTCCCATCTGCCTCAAGGAAGTGATAGTGAGACCACTCAAAAACAAGTCATGGTAGATGAATCTCATTTCTTTTTTTGCTGTGGTTGTAGTGTATCTTGAGTTCAGTAAGGCTTTTGACAAAGTCCCCCGTGATATTCTCATGAAGAAGCTGGTAAAATGTGGGTTGAATGGGGTAACTGTTAGGTGGCTTTGTAGCTAGCTGACTGACTAAACCCAAAGAATATTCATTAGTGGTTCCTCATTATCCTGGGTGACAAGTAGGGTGTCCTGGGTCCATTGTTGTTCAACTTCTTTGTAAAGGACTTGAACAAAGCAATTTATGAGATGCTCATCAAATTTGCAGATGACACCAAACTGGGAAGACTAGTTAATGCTGCAGAAGACAGAATTGGCATTCAAGATTACAATATAATACAATACAAATACCTTTATTGGCATTACAAATTAAAGATTACCTTAACGGATTAGAGAACTGGGCACACACTAACATAATGAAAATCAATAGGGACAAATGTAAGCTTCTGTACTTGGGCAGGAAGAACCAGATGCACAAATATAAGATGGGGTTTGCCAGTAGTACATGTGAAAATGATCTAGGGGTCTTAGACCTCAAACTTAACATTAATCAACAGTGTGATGCTGCAGCAAAATAGACTAATGCTATTCTAGGCTGCCTTAACATAAGTCTGGTGTCCAGATCAAGGGAAGTCACAGTACTGTGGGATGTAAAACACAGGAGCAGTCAATGACAACATTCCTAGAGTGTACATGTTAGAACATGGGGAGGGATGTCTGTCCAGCAAGCAGGTAAACTTCCTGGGAGAGACTTCCTCCGCATGTGACCAGAGGTGGGTGTGGCCTCACCTGTGCAGGTAATACTAAAAGCACAGGGCAGGCAGCCATCTCTCTCTCTCATCTTCATCTTTCGAAGAAGCAGGATGCCCTCTTGGCTCTCAGCCAAGAGAGGACTAAGGGACTATCTTCCATAAGATAGATTCTGAGTGTATTTTACCTTTTTAAGTCTGTCTGCCTTCTGGGATCATACTGTGAACAGAACGTGAGTAAACTCTTTCGTACTTTTATAAAGACTGTGTTGTGTCTTGTATTTTAAGAGGGAACAAAAGGGGAAATTACCAGAGTAATTATTATAGAGGTTCTAGCGAACCTGTGCACACATTACCATTGCGAACTTAAAAAAGGGAATGTTATAAACTCTGCTGATATTTTGGGAACTTGTTAGCACAAGTTGGATTAAGATATAATCTCACAATATATCCTCTCCTGCACCCCAGAACATTCCCACAAGTACCACTCTATTCTGCCTTGGTCAGACCACACCTGGAATACTGTGTCCAGTTCTGAGTGCCACAATTTATGAAGGATTTTGACAAGCTGGAATGTGTGCCGAGGTGGGTGACCAAGATGATCAAGGATCTGGAAACCAAGCCTTATGAGGAACAGTTGAGGGAGCTGGGCTTGTTTGGCCTGGAGGAGACTGAGAGGAGATATGAGAGCCATATTCCAATATCTAAAGGGTTGTCACATGGAAGAAAGAGCAAGCCTGTTTTCTCCTGCTCTGGAGGGTAGGACCTTGACCAATGGTTCAAGTTAAAGAAAGGAGATTCCGATTAAGCATCAGGAATAACTTATTGACAGTACCACCTCTTCCTCTGGAGGTGGTAGACTCTCCTTCCTTGGAGGTTTTAAAGCAGAGGTTGGATGGTCATCCGTCATGGATGCTTTAGATGAGATTTCTGTGTTGATTGTACGATCCCAAAACACCCTAAATATAGCCTTCAGCCATGGATGACTACCATCTGGTCTCTAATTTTCCTTTAGGGGGGCAAGATGACAGAGTGAGTGCCAGGGTCTGGCTGGACAACAAGGAGTGGTGGGAGGCACCAGCTGCACAACCCCCAAGGGAACCCCCAGAGCAGGAAGGCTCAGAGCCTAAGAGGGATAAAGTAGTTGGAAGCTGAAGGGACAACAAGCTTTTGTGATCAGGGAGAGCCTGTGTGAGAAAGAGCAGTTTAAACTCAGAGGCTGAAGCAGTGTGGCAGGGACAGAGGCTGCAGAAGAATTGCGGGAGTCTGCCTCTCCATCTGCAACTAGCTCTCCTCCCCCTCAGTCTCCAAGGAAACACAGAGTGATGTGTAGGGCAGAACAGAGATTACAGGGGCCCAGATGCAGTTTCAGACTGCTTGGGAAACAAATGGCAGAGGAGGAGCTATAGAGGGGGATAGAAGGCGGGGACCATCAGTCCTGGCGACTTCTCCGCAGGGTAAGACCTACAGGGAAGTGGTGCTGTATGCATGTTGTTGCCTTGAATAAAAGTTAACTTCACTGACAACTCTCTCTGCTTCTTTTTGCTGACCTGCATCTGAACCCAGCCCTGACAGTGGGTGGTGGCCTCTGAACTCCAGGCTGTTAGGGATGATACTAATTACCTGGATTCATTCCAGTGTTGATTCAGGTGCAGCCATTAGATGGAAGCAGCCTTTTCTGCCCTGGTGGATGACTTACACCTGAGGAGGACGGGGGAAGGAATACCATGGTAGTCTTCCTGGACCTCTCGGCAGCTTTTAACACCATCTACCATGGTATCCTTCTGGGTTGACTATTAGGGTTAGGGTTGGGAGACACTGGTCATCGCAGGGGGACTTACGATCTGCTCCATGTTTCCTGACTTATAGGGTTCTACAGGGGTACATTTTGTCACCTGCATTGTCAACATCTACATGAAACTGTTGGGGAAGTCATCTGAAGGTGGTCAAAATCCTAAACTGGTGACTGATGGCAGTTCTGGGATGGATGTTGTCATGAATGAGCCAGCCCAGCCAGCTCCCAGTGAAGGCAATAGCCAGGAAGACAGGAGGTTAACTGCAAGACAGGAGGATTATAGCGGAGAGCCAACTCCTCCACCCTTAGGAATGCCAACTGATAAAAACTGATACCACGTGGTTAGGGTAGATCAACGTGTCAGTGTCCACTTATCCCCAGTGTAAATATGACATATCGGCAAAAGTCGGAAATTGAAAGAAAACTATAGCATGTACACAAAAATCGATTTCAGATTTGAAATCAGCATTGAAACAACATATAAGAGGTAGGAGGAAAAAATCCTTAAATAAGAGACACGGGGGAATGATTAATGGACTTCAATGTCTGTACACTAATGCGCAAAGCATGGGAAATAAACAAGATGAGCTTGAGCTCTTGGTACAGCAAACTAAATATGACATAATAGGCATCACTGAAACCTGGTGGGATAAGTCCCACGATTGGAATGTAATAATGGAGGGATACAATCTATTTCAGAGAAACAGACCAGACAAGAAAGGAGGAGGAGTGGCGTTATATGTCAGGGATGTGTATACCTGTGAAGAGATCCAAGATTTAGAACCTCAAAGCCAAAGTGAGAGCATTTGGGTCAAAATTAAGGGAGAGAAGAATAACAGTGACCTCATTGTGGGAGTTTACTATAGATCCCCAAGCCAAACGGAGGACATAGATGATGCCTTCCTGGAACAGATGGCCAAGCATGCAAAAGGAAGGGAGATAGTAGTAATGGGGGACTTCAATTACCCGGATATTTGTTGGATGTCAAACTCAGCCAAGAGCATAAGGTCAAACAGATTCCTCACTGGCCTTGCAGACAACTTCATTGTCCAGAAAGTGGGAGAAGCAACAAGAGGAACAGCCATTTTAGATCTGGTCCTAACCAATGTTGATGACCTGGTTAGTGGGGTAGAAGTGGAAGGATCATTAGGCGCGAGTGATCATGCTCTTCTGAAGTTTACTATACAGCGGAAAGGAGCAGCCAAGCATACTAGGACTCAATTTCTTGACTTTAAGAAAGCCGACTTCATAAAACTTAGGGAAGTGCTGGGTGAGATCCCATGGACAGTAATACTAAAAGGAAAGGGAGTTCATGATGGCTGGGAGTTTGTTAAGAGGGAGATACTAAAAGCACAATGTCAGGCAATACCAATGAGACGGAAACATGGAAGGTGCCTAAAGAAGCCAGGGTGGCTATCTAAAGAACTTTTAACTGAGTTAAGATTATAAAAGGATGTGTACAAAAAATGGAAAAGGGGGGAAACCACCAAAGAGGAATTCAAACAAATAGCCAGCACGTGCAGACACAAAGTCAGAAAAGCTAAAGCACAGAATGAACTCAGGCTTGCTAGAGAGGTTAAAAGCAACAAAAAAGGCTTTTATGGGTATGTTCGTAGCAAAAGGAAGAACAAAGAAACGGTGGGAGGAGAAGATGGTGAAATGCAAACAGGGGACACAGAAAGGGCTGAACTCCTCAATGCCTTCTTTGCCTCAGTCTTCTCCGATAAAGAAAACAATGCCCGACCTGAAGAATTTGGAGCAAATGATTCAGCAGAGGAAACACAGCCCAGAATAACTAAGGAGATAGTACAAGAATACTTGGCTAGTTTAGATGTATTCAAGTCTCCAGGGCCAGATGAACTGCATCCAAGAGTATTAAAAGAACTGGCAGATGTGATCTCAGAACCACTGGCAGTCATCTTGGAGAATTCCTGGAGAACAGGCAAAGTCCCGGCAGACTGGAGGAGGGCAAATGTTGTCCCTATTTTCAAAAAGGGGAAAAGAGAGGACCCAAATAATTACCGCCCAGTCAGTCTGACATCAATACCAGGGAAGATTCTGGAGCAGATCATTAAGCAAACAGTCTGTGAGCACCTAGAAAGGAATGCTGTGATCACCAATAGTCAGCATGGATTTCTGAAAAATAAGTCATGTCAGACTAACCTGATCTCGTTTTTTGACAGAATTACAAGCCTGGTAGATGAAGGGAACACAGTGGATGTAGCCTACCTTGATTTCAGCAAGGCATTTGACAAGGTGCCCCATGATATTCTTGTAAAGAAGCTGGTAAAATGCGGTCTTGACTATGCTACCACTCAGTGGATTTGTAACTGGCTGACTGACCGAAGCCAAAGGGTGCTCATCAATGGTTCCTCTTCATCCTGGAGAAGAGTGACTAGTGGGGTGCCACAGGGTTCTGTCTTGGGCCCGGTCTTATTCAACATCTTTATCAACGACTTGGATGATGGACTCAAGGGCATCCTGATCAAATTTGCAGATGACACCAAACTGGGAGGGGTGGCTAACACCCCAGAGGACAGGATCACACTTCAAAACGACCTTGACAGATTAGAGAACTGGACCAAAACAAACAAGATGAATTTTAACAGGGAGAAATGTAAAGTATTGCACTTGGGCAAAAAAATGAGAGGCACAAATACAAGATGGGGACACCTGGCTTGAGAGCAGTACATGTGAAAAGCATCTAGGAGTCTTGGTTGACCACAAACTTGACATGAGCCAACAGTGTGACGCGGCAGCTAAAAAGCCAATGCAATTCTGGGCTGCATCAATAGGAGTATAGCATCTAGATCAAGGGAAGTAATAGTGCCACTGTATTCTGCTCTGGTCAGACCTCACCTGGAGTACTGTGTCCAGTTCTGGGCACCACAGTTCAAGAAGGACACTGACAAACTGGAACGTGTCCAGAGGAGGGCAACCAAAATGGTCAAAGGCCTGGAAACGATGCCTTATGAGGAACGGCTAAGGGAGCTGGGCATGTTTAGCCTGGAGAAGAGGAGGTTAAGGGGTGATATGATAGCCATGTTCAAATATATAAAAGGATGTCACATAGAGGAGGGAGAAAGGTTGTTTTCTGCTGCTCCAGAGAAGCGGACACGGAGCAATGGATCCAAACTACAAGAAAGAAGATTCCACCTAAACATTAGGAAGAACTTCCTGACAGTAAGAGCTGTTCGACAGTGGAATTTGCTGCCAAGGAGTGTGGTGGAGTCTCCTTCTTTGGAGGTCTTTAAGCAGAGGCTTGACAACCGTATGTCAGGAGTGCTCTGGTGGTGTTTCCTGCTTGGCAGGGGGTTGGACTCAATGGCCCTTGTGGTCTCTTCCAACTCTGTGATTCTATGATTCTATGAAAGCCCTTTTGCAAACAGCTCCCCATGGAACCTCTGAAAACTAGAGGTTTAAAGAGCAGCATGAGGCTCTTTGCAAAAGGGATTTTGAACAAGCCCACACTGGGCATGGGCAGCATGTACCTGGTCCCAGCTGGAGAACTGAGCAGGATGTAACCAGTTAATCACCAGTGGTTAAATCCTGCTGCTTTGACTACATGTATCAGTTCCCAGCTGATTCTATGATTCTATGATTCTAACAGTTGAAAAATCTCAGGCAAAAGAAAATGAAAAAAGAATGTTCCCCAGTATACTGTGAATCCCAAAGGAATACATTTTTTTGCATACCTCCAACTGTACATAGATATACATGTCATTTTCAGTGCTATACATGTCATGTTCAATGCTATATAAGTCACTTACATTTATACTCATATTGTACTACTTTGGCTATGTGTTTAATAAAATATTGAATTCTTGCATTGTGAAAAACAAAGATTATGGTGAAAAGTGAAAAACATGAATTGCAAAAAAAAAAAAAAAACTAGAACAAAACCAACTTCAGATATGAAATCAGCACGTCGAAATTAGGTTAGAACAGCTGCAGGTGTCAATGCAACAAAAAAATTTGTTCCCCAGTGTTATGCATAAAGCATGGCTCTGAAAGCCTGCATATTGCTAAACAACTGCATGACCATGTTAGGAATAAAATGGTGTCTGGGTCAGTTTATTTCTTCTTCTTTCCACATTAGGACAGACTTAGCTGGACATATGGTTGCCACGCTCTCTGCTCCAGTTTCCCCTCAGTGCTTATCAGAAACAATTAATGAATGATGCCACATTTGGTCAAAAGTCCTTGAAAGATGAAAGGGTTTGCCTTGAGCAAACTATCAACAGCATTGATTTTCATGTTCTTTTACAATGAGCCTATCTGATTTTTGCTCCACTGGCATTTTGTGAGAGCTGTCTCCAGAGATGGCAAGCTTTTCTTTTTGCAGGGAGATTTTAGCACTGGCATCTCCTGTCAGTCCTGCCACTTGCGAACTCCAAAATTCAACCAAGTTTATTTTTCCTAGAGAGGCTGCGCTCTTAATTATTGCCCTATTTGCCACCCACAAATGCATTTGGAGGAAGAGTGGAATAGAAATTTTATAATCAATTAATGATTTTACATAAGTTGACAGGCATATTTGTATTTCCCTGTGTGTCTCCACATTAATCCCTCTGTTCAGTATTGTTAATCTGTGTGTCATGGCATATAATATATTAGGATCAGGACAGGGATTTGAAGCAACTGCATAAACCACTTGGGCCAGGTCAGGGATGTCTAACATAAGATGCAGGTGTCAAGAATTTACTTTGCCTACGTGCCAGTAGCTTTGACAACAGGTACCTTATCAAGACCTTTAGATCTTCCATATGACTCTCCACAGCAGCCCTAAAACATTCACATAACTGTTGCCTCAAGACTTCAGGACTACAAAGAGAGCATTGGGGCTGACCTGCCAATGCTACTGGTCATGTTGTTCGAATGCCTGATTATCGTCTTCTAAAGCAGCTACTCTATTCCGAACTTAAAAATGCAAAGCGTAATGCTGGTGGTCAACAAAAGTGGTTTAAAGACTCTCTCAAGGCAAATCTAAAAAAAAGTAGTATAAACACTGACAACTGGGAAACACTAAACAGCCTTTACCAAAGGTGTCATGGGTTTTGAAGACGCTCAAACTCAGGACGAAAGGGAGAAACGTGCTAAGAGGAAGGCACGCTTGGGAAACCCTCACCTTGATCAACCCTACCCAGAAACCTATGTCCCCACTGTGGAAGGACGAGTGGATCCAGCATTGGCCTCCATAGTCATGTATAGACTCACTGTTAAAACCATGTTCATGAAAGACAATCTTACTCAACTACCAGTGATCACCAAAGAAGAAGAACAACTGCTGTGTGTCTCTATAGCAGCATTACCTCCATGTCAATATCAAGAAGCCAATTCCAATGAAGGAAGAGGGAAGAAAGTCCTTGCTCTTTTCCCTCATCTAGTAGCACCTGTAGAATGTTTTCCCAAGGACTATAGAAATGTCAGTATTTCCCTGTGGTTACTTGAGTATAGCCAAATGCTAGGCATCATAGGTATTTCTGGCCCCAGTCACTTTTCCATAATTCTGTTTCACACCATTTCCATATTAATCCATATTAATCAGTGTTTTTCTCTATATCTATATATATAACACCATCCACAATCCACATTTAGCTCATTTTGTAGTGTCACATCATAACCCTGGATTTGCATGAAGTCTGGGTGGGGTAGCGAGTAAAAATGAAGGCAGGTTGCACAACTGCAATGCCCATCAAATGGCAGAAAGAAGAAAGGAGCAGGGGACATTAAAACAACTGAAGAAGATTGAGTAAAATATGGATGGAGGAAACGGAGAGAAAAACTGTGGTTTTAAACAATAGCAAAGGTTTTAATAAAGTACTAGGGAATATCTGGGGCTTCCACTTCATCTGTCTCACATGAGGCAGCTGAGGAGTGGAACAGGGAAGAGTTTGAGTACAGTGAGCATAGTGAGAAGGGAGAGGAAATAATAGTACAGTTGTACTTTGGATCCCAAATGCCTTGGTACTCAGACATTTTGGATCCCGAATGCCGCAAACCCAGAAGTGAGTGTTCCAGTTGCAAACATTCTTTGGAACCTGAACATCTGATGCGGCTTATGGGGCTTCCGAGGTTTCTGATTGGCTGCAGGAGCTTCCTGAAGCCAATCTGAAGCCGTGCTTTGGTTTCCGAACGTTTTGGAAGTCGAATGGACTTCTGGAATAGATTCCTTTCTACTTCCAAAGTACGACTGTAATAGTAATAGCAGTAATAATAATAATATTATTTGACACCTGACAGGAGAGCATTCCACAGGGCAGGCACCACTTCCAAAAAGGCTTCCTGCCTGGTTCCCTGTGAATCCACTTTTCATAGTGTGGGAACTGCCAGAAGGCCCTCAGAGCTGGACCTCAGTGTTTGGGCTGAAAGATGGCATTGGAGACACTCCTTCAGGTATACAGCACCAAAGCCATTTAGGACTTTAAAGGTCAGCACCAACACTTTGAATTGTGCTCAGAAATGTACTGGGAGCCGATGTAGGGTTTTTTAGGACTGGTGTTATATGGTTCCAGAGGCCACTCCCAGTCACCAGTCTAGCTACTGCATTCTGGATTAGTTGTAGGTCTCCTTCAAAGGTAGCACTGCAGTGGTCTAAGTAGAAGATAACTAGAGCATGTACCACTCAGGCGAAACAGTGCGCAGGCAGGTAGAACCTCAGCTGGCACACAACATGGAGCTAGCAGATAGCCGCCCTGGACACAGAATGCTGAAAGGGGTGGAAGTGGCTCTTTAAACAACAACACTATCAGAGACTGGTTGGGTGATTAAGAGCTGTGGGAGACGCCAGCCCAAGAACCCTCAGGGATGACACAGAGGAAGATTTAGACCTGGGACAGTGGTGGTAGGACACTGAGGAACGGTCTGTGGAAGGGACAAACTGGGAGGTGATAGAAGCAGGAGGTTTGAGTGAACATGGGGGGGTCAGAATAAGAAAGCCGTTCCAGGACAGGGCAGGGTCCCAAGGGTCTCAGTGTAAGCACAGAGAGGAGCCAAACACTGCTGCAGTTGCCCAGAAGCTGGACAGTCTCTCTTTTGCTAGATCTCCTCCTCCACTGACATCCAGATCACAAAGAATATTGAATGTTGGTGAGCAATGGACCAAAATGCAACTATGTCTGATTTTAAGTCTGAGCTGTAGACTGCTGCTGGAGGATTGCTATAGAATGGATTTCATGCTGAGTCATAGACTGTCTGCTGTGAATCTGTTGTTTTAATTGAACTATTGTGATAGCTTCAATATTGATTATATTGTATGTTTTTTTCTTGCAACCCACCCTGGGATCCTGAAAGTGATTAAGTTTGGGGTATTAAGTGCAAGCAAGCAAGCAAGCAATAAACAAACAAACAAACAATAAAATTAAGGCATCTGTCAGAACTGCCTTTCCCGGGTCTTCTTGTACCCAGCATGCTACAGAGCAGCATACAAACACTGGAAGGGAAGATGTCTCCCTCCCTCCCACTTGTCACTCGCCTCCTCCTACCAGTAGAACAGTAGTCAGCTAGCTGCTTGGAAAAGAAAGAAGGAAGAACTTTCAGACTCCCAGGTGGGAAGGGGATGTTGGCTGGAGGGCTGGTGGTGCTGGAAGTAAGGACGAGGGAGATTTTTGTCCAGTCTGCATTTCAAAGTGAACTAATTTAACCTGCACTTCCAGGACTTATGCTTGGATCAGAACAAAATTATAATTAAATTCTCTGAATTTTACGATTCAGCTCTCAGCTCAAAAATGTAAATTTTTACATACATTTAAATGTGCACTTAAGATAAAATACATGTAGAAACATTACACTGAGGTAAAATACCTATCTATTTACCGTACATATGAATTTCACTTTTTAAATTTATTTTATTTTAAGAAAACACCCCACAGATTACTGTGGAAATGAGGACACATGCACAACTAGCATGAGCTGGAAATAGAGTGATCTGCCCAGCCCTCATGAAAGTATAAGAGATTGGATACCACTGCATCCCAGATTTCAGTGGGGTGGGGTGTAAATCAATTTGGCTTGACAAAGATTAAACTCCCAATTTGGAATGTGTAATAGCTTGCCTTAATCTGCCCTTAATCTAAAACAATCCAATTCAAGCTTGAGGTGCTCACCCATGATGACTCAACACATTTTAAAATCAAATTTTGCAAAAATCAATTGGAATATGGAATGAAAATCTGTAAAGACAGCAGCTTGAAGAAAGCAAATTTTTCTGGAGAAGAGAGCATCCATTTAACAAAAATGGGAATTTAATTAACTCCAGAACATTTAGAGCTCACTCAAGAACTCATGTAAAAACCAGAAATAGAATTAAGGACATCCTGAGTTCTATGATTTCTTCCACAGAAACAAGCTGTGACCCATGAGGCAATGACACTTCACAGAACCGCAGCGGGTGGCGGCTGGGGAGCTGGCTAGACATTTGGTCTTCACAGTCCTCTTTGTTCTGAGCGGGGAAGCAGAGCAGATGGCAAGGGGTGGGGAGAACAGGAATAGAAAAAGAAGCAGTACGAGAGGTGGAAGTGTTCTCTATTGGGGATTTATCCAGCGTATAATGAATTCTAAGGCATCTGAGTAACTTGCTAGATGCAAGTAGGACTAATCACTGACCCTAATACTTATGGCCATTCCCAACATAACATTTGCTATTTTATTCTCCCAAGCATAAACTGGGGCTCCAACTATGTTTTCCATATGTTTTCCAAATCTTCTGAAGAAAGGCCCTGATCTGCCCCACCATTCCTCAAGCTGTCACTACGTTCCTGCCAGTCTCTTCCAATGCAAAAGGGGGGCTGAGAGATGTGAGGGACTGAAGGCCTCTGGATCTCCATGGGCAGAAAGAGAGAGAGGAGACTTTTGAAGCAGAGATGCCCTCGCAGCATTGCTCCCTCTCATCATCAGCCATCCAGAATGGACTTTCTATGAAGAAGAAATTTCTCTGTTGCCTACTTGTGGGGTTGCCACCTATCCCTTGTAATAAAGGAATTGCCCCTTATTCCAAGTACAAATGCAGCGTCCCTCAAGGGATGCAGTTTGTCACATTTTTCTGCCTCGCTTTCTTCTCTTCCCTCTTTCTCCTCTGCGGAAGTGAGCGCTGGGCTCAGCACCCCCCTCCCTCCCATCTCTACTGTACCTGCGCACTTGCCTCCCTCCTGCCTGCCTGCCTCCCTGTGTTCTCTTCCTCTCTCGCTTTCCTTTCCCTACTCTACCCCTCTCTGTTTCACTAGATCCAGTGAGTGACACATTTGGGGATGGAATTGTAGGGGCGGGACTGAGAAAGCTTTGAATGGTTGGCATTGGGGAGGAACAGAGGAGGGGAGGGGAAGCTGGCCGGCATGAGGGTCGGCATGAGGGTCCTGCGCACCCCCCCCCCCAGTGTGTCTCACATTAAAGCTGGCAGTTCCTTTCCTGCAGACCAGGGAAGCGGGGGGTGCTAGGCTGCTGCGTGGGTCCTCGTTGCTTTTACGTGCTTCCCTGACCCTGTTCCTTTATGGAGGGGTAAGGTGGATATTGCAAACCTATTCTTTAGGTACCAAAGAAAACTCCTCCCCCACAAAACCAATAGCTTCTAAAAGTGCTTTAAATGTGTACTGCAGATGAGGACTCAAACTCCCTTGCAAGAAACTGTCACAGTCCTAAATTCACTTTAAGCCTGAGCCTTTGAAAACAGAAATAAGTCCCAATTAGTTCAGTTGAATTTATTTTCAAATAAGGATTGAAGCCTTAAAATGGTTGGTTTTTTTACTTATTTAAATAAATTGATGCAAAATATTTTATAAAGGACAGGGCCAAAAATGAAGCACACATGTAACCCACTAGATGAACTTGTCTGACTGTGATGCATGTGTGTGAATGTGTGTGGCATTAGCAGCTGCATGGAATTGCTATCCTCACCCCTCTTTCTCTTTTTGGATGGGTTTCTTCATTTACCATTCTTCTGACACGCAGAAATTCAGCAGGTGGGGAGGATGTGAGTCACTGAAATTAATGTGCATTGCTAACTTAGATCAATAAATTTCATTGGGTCTCTATGAGTATGGCCAGCATTGGGGAAAAAACACTGTAATGGATGATTTTGAAGTCATTTCTACACCAGGTAAAGTCATTTTTAGCTCCCCAATTCCCCCCTCCTGACTTGTCCCATATTTTGCCCTACCTACTTGTAAGTAGACCAAAACAACTATGTTGTAATGCATAGGCTAGGATTAGTCCTATTTTTAGAGCTACAATGCTCTGGTTTATTTTGCATTCTGTTTCAACCTTCTGCCGGCTTTTCCACATTAATATTCCTATTATTGTTTAATAGTTTCACAAGTTTGACGTGCCAGTCTTGTGGGATATAATCCACTAGAGCAGTCAAGTACAACATTACCTGTATTGCTAGAGTGGACATGCAGGGGATGTTGGTCCAGCCAGTTGAACTTCCTGTTACACCTGGCTGGAGCACCCTTCCTTTGCATGTGACTAGTAGGTGGGCATGATCTATCCAGACCTAGTAAAAAGGCCAAGTCATGTAGCCACCTCCCTCCTTCTTCCTTTTTCTGCTTCCTGCTTCCCCTGGACTGTATTGTTGGCTCTCAACCAGCAGTCCATGGGGAATCTCCCATATGGGGTGTACATATTTGTAACTTTAAGGCTAAAACTTACCTTCAGGGATCACACTGTACTGTGCCTGATCGCAAGTAAACTGCTTTCTGTTACTTATTAATAAGACTGTTGTGTCTTTATTCTTTTAGGAGGGATAAAAGGTCTTACCAGGAATAATAGAACTTAAGAGATTCTAATGAATCTGCAACTAGCTTCCTGCTGTGTGATAGGGGAATGCACTCTGCTGTATGAAGAAACTTGTTAGCGCGAGTTAGGAAGGATAATATTAATCAATATATCCTCTCCTGTTACCCACAACATTCCCACAAGTCTCAGGGTTCTGGAATCCCCACATGCCGAAATGCTTGGCATTCAGGATACTGGATGTTTCGGATCAGAGTTGTCTACACTGGAAGGAAGCCATTTTGATGTGGAAATGTTCATACAGAGTGTCTGGGATTAAATGGAGAAGTCTTGGGGATAAATTGGGAATAAATTCTGTGTATGTGACTGACACCCCAAAAGATCAATTGATGCACATTCAAACATATGCATTCTTGTAATTAATATGTCCACACACAAAAAAGGGAAGGGAGAAGGCAAATTGCATGCATTATGATCCACTAGAATTTGTTCATTCATGGGTGGGATAACTGTCAAAACCAAAACATTCAGGGTCTGCTCCTCCATTTGCTGTTGTCCTGATCCAGCGTTTTTTTTTACAAATAGTGGCAAATGTCCCATCCCCCCAAATACTATTATCATCATCACCATCTGATTATACCTTTACATAGCAAGGTAATATTAACATTCCCCAAACTGTAACTATCCACAAGTATTCAGTCATTAACATTCAGGCTATGATTAGTACCAAAAAATATTAATTCTTGTAATTTTACTTAACTTCTTCATCCAAAACATACGAGAAAACTACCAGAAGGGTCTTCAGTGGTTGTAAAATAGCAATATGTTCTATGTGATATCTGTCAAAGACTTACACTTTAAAGAACGGCTACAGTTATAATTTTTTTCAGAAGCAAATTTGTGAAACATTATTACTTAAATACATATCAGATGTGTTCAGTGGAGTGGAGTCCCATTAATAGATCTTACAAAACTGCAGAACCTTGAAATATTTAACTGTTAAAAAGGCAACAATTGGGAGGAGAGGGGGAAGCTTTTCTTTATTTTGTCTTTATTTTTTATTTAATGAAGATTATGCAGCATGCCTATAGGGTCACCTCAGAGACCCACTGTGTCTTTCTGCTCCATTTCGGTCTCTCCAGAGTGAATCCACACACAGGACACCTGGTTTACTATAAGAAGGAAAAATGATTTTGCTCATATTCCTAGAATTGTGTTGTTCTCACTGGAATCAAAAAGTGGAGTGCCATCTGATGCTTTAGAGGCTGGCTATTTTATAGGATAAAAGGTAAAGGACCCCTGACAGTTAAGTCCAGTTGTTGACGACTCTGAGGTTGCGGCGCTCATCTCACTTTACAGGCCGAGGGAGCCGGCATTTGTCTGCAGACAGTTTTTCCGGGTCATGTGGCCAGCATGAGACCGAGCTACAGGAGCTCACCCTGTCGCGGGCATTCGAACTGCCAACCTTCTGATTGGCAAGCCCCAGAGGCTCAGTGGTTTAGACCACAGTGCCACCCGTTTATAGGATAGGTAAAGGGGCCCCAGAGTAGGTCCAGTCATGACCAACTCTGGAGTTGCAGTGCTCATCTCGCTTTATTGGCCGAGGGAGCCAGCCTACAGCTTCCGGGTCATGTGGCCAGCATGACTAAGCTGCTTCTGGCGAACCAGAGCAGTGCATGGAAACGCCATTTACCTTCCCGCCAGAGCGGTACCTATTCATCTACTTGCACTTTGATGTGCTTTCAAACTGCTAGGTTGGCAGGAGCAGGGACTGAGCAACAGGAGCTCACCCCGTCGTGGGGATTTGAACCAGCGACCTTCTGATAGGCATGTCCTAGGCTCTGTGGTTTAACCCACAGCGCCACCCGCGTCCCAGGTTTATAGGATAGTCAATATTTAAACCATCAGAAGCAGCTGCTTTATCCAGCCTCTCCCTAGAAAATTCCCAAAAAGTAGGACTCCAAACATTTCCTAAATATAAACTAATCCTAAAAAGCAACTCTTCATCAAGCACCGCTGTTTGCAAACTTTCTCTTAAAAAAACAAAAAAAGCCTACCGTGACAGAAGGGTAGACATTTCGCTGCTTGGTGCAAATCCGAAAATGGTGCCACGCATGCCTCCGGCCACTGCCGCCACCTGAGATGACTGGAGGCAGCATGGGGGAAACCCAGTTCACTGCAAGGAGTGGGAGAAAAAAAGCCAGAGAGTAACAGGTGTCAGCACCTTCCCACTCAGGGGACGACTGGGACAGCGGCCGCTCCTCTCTGTAGCAAAAGGAGGAGTGGCAAAGGACGTGAGGTGCCCCTCTCTTTTGGGAACCACAGCCCCTCGCTGCTCTCCCCAGTCTGGGGCTAATGGGTGGGCCATATTGAGCAGAGAGCATTAGAATAGCCAGGCAGGAGCAAGCTAAGGCAGCAACTCTTTGAATTCTTAGCTTACATATGCAAAGGTTCAGGCTGCAAAACTTTAAAACCACTTCAATGTGCTTAGAGAGCCATCTGATTGCCTGTAGACTAAAACACTACACTGAACTGTAAATAGGCTAGTCTCTCCCACCAATCTTCATAGGCAGAATATTCCATATAGATTGAAAATATTTCAATTAAATGAAAAAAATTGAAGAAATTAAAAGGAAACAGAAAGTGTATAAAAAGTATAAAAATAAAAAAACCTGCAATTCTGTACTTACTTGCCTAGTACAAAGGTATATAAGTGAAATTATTACTCCAATACATTACATTTATTTATAACTGACTATATTTTTTAGTATTCAAATGTCATTATATTTGTCCATACACAATCTGTCTTTTATCAATCTTTGTTGCAAGAGTTGTCATATCTTCTATTCATTAATTAAAGAGGGCCATAGGTTTATCTTTCCAGTGAAACAAGGCAGACCATTCCTGCGTCTCTCCTCAGTATCCCAGCAGGGTGGAAGCCTCTGCTCTTCTGCAAGATTCCATGGCTCTCTGTTTAACTTATACAATTCTAATAATATAGTTTTCAAAACTAAGACAATGTGTCTCCCAAGAAAATCAACCTGTTGGTTTTGTCATGAAATGGTTGGAATCTTGCACCTGCTGAATTACCATTGGTCTCTAACTGACTAATTTAGGCTTTTTAATATGAGTACAGAGCTTATGTTTCTCACATTCTCTCAGTTTTCAGGTGATTGCTTCAGTTCTGAAAATCCCCAACCTTGATTCCATATGGCTTGTGCTCGTCAGCATGATTAAAAAGAAAAATCTGAGCTCATCGGAAACAAACGTATGATACCCTCTGTGGCTATCACACAGGGTCCCCGGACGTTTGACAGTCTATTGATCCCTGTGCCACCACTGTGATTGCTTTCCCGCTGCCACCAACCCGTTTCTCTCGGGTACACACAGAGTCCAGACAGTTGTTAACATTAAATCAAATAAGCAAGTTTATTTTAAAAGCCTTAACAAGTTTATGGTTTCAGATAATTTTTCTTGTCAGTTTCTTAATCTTAGTTTCTATACCGGCCTATACCTTTCCTAATAACTGCTGTCTATCTGACTCCTCCTATCAGTTTCTCTCACTCTCTCACAACACAACTCGACCAACCCACAGACATATCCTCCCTCTTCCTTCTCCAACTCCCAACTAACTCCTAACAACTCCAACTCCAACTCTAACTCCTCCCCTTGGGTTTCCACTGGCCAATCACTTCACACTCATTTAACCCTTTCCTTATGACCCACCTAGGAGGGCAAACGCCACACCCTCCTTGTGGAAGAAGATATTATTGTTGCATCTGACTGCATTTAGAATCTCATCCCTTTTTAAACCTTCCCTCCCACTGTCCTGATACAAATGGTCCCCTATGCTGTCTTGAAGCTTAGGAAAAACTCTCCATAGCAGCATAGAGTCAATCAACACTGGAATCACAGAGAACGGAAAAAATAAAATTTGTAAAAATTGTTCAGTAGCACCTTAGAGACCAACTAAGTTTGCTCTGGGTATAAGCTTCCGTGTGCATGCACACTTCTTCAGATACACTGAAAGAGAAGTCACCAGACCCTTATATATAGTGGGAAGGTGGGGTGGGGTTTTTCTCAGAATGGTAGTAGGAGAAGAAGGAGAAGGAGAAGGAGAAGGAGGAGAAGAGGAGGAGGAGTTTGGATTTGATATCCCGCTTTATCACTACCCTAAGGAGTCTCAAAGCGGCTAACAATCTCCTTTCCCTCCTCCCCCACAACAAACACTCTGTGGGGTGAGTGGGGCTGAGAGACTTCAGAGAAGTGTGACTAGCGCAAGGTCACCCAGGAGCTGCATGTGGAGGAGCAGGGAAGTGAACCCGGTTCACCAGATTACAAGTCCACCGCTCTTAACCACTACACCACAATGGGTGCTTGACTCAATGGGTATGACGACCTGTTGACGACTGTTAACAACTGCAATTAGTCCTACAGGAAAAAGCAAGGAATAGTATGCAGATGACCAAAAATAGCTTTAGCATACATAATGAGACAAGAATCCAATATCTCTATTCAGAACAGGTCTCTCCATAGTTTTCAGTTTAGTAAAGGTAAAGGTAAAGGTACCCCTGCCCGTACGGGCCAGTCGTGTCCGACTCTGGGGTTACGCGCTCATCTTGTTTAAGAGGCCAGGAGCCAGCGCTGTCCAAAGACACTTCCGGGTCACGTGGCCAGTGTGACTAAGCTGCTCTGGCGAGCCAGCGCAGCGCACGGAAACGCCGTTTACCTTCCCGCTATAAAGCGGTACCTATTTATCTAGTTGCACTTCGGGGTGCTTTTGAACTGCTAGGTGGGCAGGAGCTGAGACCGAACGATGGGAGCTCACCCCGCCGCGGGGATTCGAACTGCCGACCATACGATCGGCAAGTCCTAGGCATTGAGGTTTTACCCACAGCGCCACCCGCATCCCAGTTTAGTAATAAGTTGTAATTCAGCAACTTCTCTTTCAAGTCTATTTCTGAAATTCTTTTGTAATAAGACAGCTGCTTTGAGGTCCTGTATTGAATGTCCTGGGAGACTGAAGTGTTCTCCTACTGGCTTCTCTGTCTTGTGATTCCTGATGTCAAATTTATGTCATAGCTGTCAACTTTTCCCTTTTCTTGTGAGGAATCCTATTTGGAATAAGGGAATTTACCTTTAAAAAAGGGAAAGGTTGACAGCTATGATTTATGTCCATTTATCCTTTGGCGTAGGGTTTGGCCTGTTTGTCCAATATGGCATTTGGTGGCATACACAATGTTAGAAGATGAGCAATTAAATAGGCCTGAGATGGTATTTTTATGTTGTTGGGTCCAGGCATGGTGTTTTCTGGGTGTATGTGCCAGCAAAGTTGGCATCTGGGTTTATTGTGGGCTCTGGTACCAATGTCCATGTTAAGTCTGGTTGCTGTATTATTGTGGGTGAGTAGTTGTTTAAAATTGGGTGGCTGGCTGTAGGCAATGAAAGGTCTTCCTCCCAGAGCTTGAGAAAGAGAATTGTCATTGTCTAGAAGAGGCTGTAAATCTCTGATGATGCATTGAACTGTTTTAACTTGGGAGCTGTATGTGATTACCAGTGATGTTCTGTTATTTTCTCTTTTGGGTCTGTCTTGCAGCAAGTTCTCTATGGGTATCAGTCTGGCTTTGTTGATCTATTGTTTAACTTCATCGGGCAGATATTTTAGTTCCAAAAAGGTTTGCTGTAGATCTCTTAGGTGAGAATCCCTATCTGTAGAGTTGGAACAGATGCGGCTGTAACATAGAGCCTGGCTATATACAACTGATTGTTTGGTATGTTTGGGATAGTAGCTGGAAGCGTGTAGATATGTTTGTTGGTCAGTTGGTTTTTGGTATAAGGTGGTGTCTATGCGCCCATCCTGTATTTTTATAGTAGTGGCCAAAAATGTATTTTTTGCATAGATTGGTTCATTGTTAGGTTGATGGTGGGGTGAAAGTCATTGAATGTCTGGTGGAAGGTGTCCAGGGTCATTAATGTATCGCAGGTACAAGAGAGGTTTAAGTGGGTAAGAGTTTAGGAAGCATTGTTCCAAATCTGCCATTAAGATGTTGGCATACTGTGGGGGCATGCGGGGGGCGCATTGTTGTGCCGCTGATCTGAAGGAACAGGCCATCTCCAAATCTGAAGTGGTTGTGGGTGAGGACAAAATGGCAGTTTGGTAGCAAAGTCCACTGTGGTTTTATCTGAAATGGTGTTCCTTACAGCTTGTAATCCATTGTTGTGTGGGATGCTGGTGTACAGGTATTCCACACCCATAGTGGCTAGTATAGTATTGTTAGGTAGATTGTTCAAATATTTTTTTTCTTGATTTCCCCCCCTAAAAACTGGGTGCGTCCTATGGTCCGGTGCGCCCTATGGTGCGAAAAATACGGTAGCTCTTCTTTCCGCCTCTCCTCTAACCCCACTCCACCCATTCAATTTCTCACACACTTCACCTTGTAATGAATACTTTCACAGAAAATCCAATATTAAATTTATTATTTCTTAATAAAAGGTTTCAGCAAAGAAAATGACATTTTGATGTGAGTTGACAGTTTTTAAAAATGTAATTCAGTTGTAAAACAATACACAGATAGGCCTAAATAAAACATACAAACAATATCATAGTGATTTGGTCCACAATGATAACTTTATATTATAATACTATAGGATGTAAAATGGCATTACTTTCACAATATCTGTGTTATTTGGTTGATATAAAGTAAGAAAAATTATTATTATTCACAAGTGACAAGTTACAAGTTCTTATTCACAAGAGTTGTCATTTGGAAAAAATAAATAAAAGTAGAGTTAAGCCAACTCTGGCTTTAAGTAGCAATCTCCTCAATGAAATCTGATGTGATTAGAACTTTATTCCTCTTTCTTTAATCAAAGAAAACTCTGTAAATTTTTTATCAAAGTCTGTTTTTTCATACTCGATGGACAAGATTGCTAGATTTTTAGTCTGGTTTCACTCATACTTGATCTTAAGTACAGTGGTACCTCGGGTTACAAACACTTAGGTTACAGACTCCGCTAACCCAGAATTAGTACCTTGGATTAAGAACTTTGCTTCAGGATGAGAACAGAAATTGCGCGGGAGGCCTCATTAGCTAAAGTGGTTCCTCAGGTTAAAAATGGTTTCAGGTTAAGAATGGACCTCCAGAACGAATTAAGTTCTTAACCAGAGGTACCACTGTAGTTTTTTATGAGTTTTAATTTATTGAAACTACGTTCACAAGATGCTACGCTTACTGGCATAGTGAGAAATATTTTCAGTGCTATTTCGATATAAGGATAAACATCTCTTAACCCATACTTGGCTATACATTTCAACATATCTAAATGGGAAGCTGTGCCAATGTTTTCAAGTAGTTCTGCTGCTTGAAATTTGAAAGAAGCTCCTCCAGGTACCAGTTCCACTGTATCATTGTCTTGGCTGTACTTGGTACCAAAATCTGCAGCACATTTTTCAAGATGGGATGTTAGACTTTCATTTAAAACTTTCCCTGACAGAAAACTGAAATCTGATGAAACAGTACCATATATCTGAGATCTGTTTTTAATTTCAGAGATAATTCTGTCAAAAACCTTAAAACACTCATTTTGAAAGGAGTTCTCAGCAGAGAGCAAATATCCCTCGACGTCAGTTAGTTGAGAAACTTATACTGCCTTTGGCTTCTGACTTTTCCCGAACACCTGGTCCTTCAGGGGCATAGTTACCCCATTTAGGACCAGGGAGTCCCCCACAACCACCTGCCCCCTGTCCCCTCAAAACAGTACTTCTGTCTTATCAGGATTCAACCTCAATCTGTTAGCCGCCATCCATCCTCCAGACACTCACACATGACCTTCACCGCCTTTACTGGTTCTGATTTAAAAGAGAGGTAGAGCTGGGTATCATCCACATACTGATGAACACCCAGCCCAATCCCCTGATGCTCTCTCCCAGCGGTTGCATGTAGATGTTAAAAAGCATGGGAGAGAGGATGGAACCCTGAGGCACCCCACAAGTGAGACCCCAGGGGTCCGAACACTCACCCCCCAACACCACTTTCTGAAGGAGCAGAACGGCTGTATAATGGTGCCCCCAGCTCCCAGCTCCTCTAGATGGTCCAGAAGGATGTCATGGTCAAAGGTATCAGAGGCTGCTGAGAGATCCAGCAGAACTGGATGATTCAGCCCGCCGGAGATCATCGACCAGTGCGACCAAGGCAGTTTCAGACCCATGATGAGGCCTGAATCCCGACTGGAAGGGATCCAATGGTCCGCATCCTCCAGGCATGCCTAGAGTTGTTCAGCAACCACCCGCTCAATCACCTTGCCCAAGAATGGAAGACTTGAGAATGGGCGATAGTTGGCCATATTTTCCAGGTCCAAAGATGTTTTTTTTTAAAAGAAGTGGTTTAATAACCGCCTCTTTCAGTGGGTCTGGAAAGGCTCCCTCACAGAAGGAAGCATTCACCACCCTGCAGAGCCCATTACCCAGCCCTTCCCATCTCAATTTTATGAGCCAGGATGGGCAAGGATCAATGAGACAGGTGGTCGGTTTTACTTGTCCAAGCAGCCTGTCCACATCCTCAGAGGTAACAGACTGGAATTGATGCCACACAACTTGACTAGACAGGACTCTAGCACTCTCCCGCCCTGGCCCTGCTCCCATGGTGGAGTCTACCTCTTTCTGAATCTGAGCAACTTTATCTGTAAACTTTATCTGTATCATTGCAGGAGATCTAGGGGTCCTTACTGGGCCCCGATGGCAAAGGTGGTTCCGTTAAATTACGAACCACCTGCAAGTCTCCTGCTGCTGTTTTCTACAGATGCAATAGAGGCAGTGAAGAAGGTCCTCTTTGCCGTCCCCATCACCACTTGGTAGGCTTGATGTTGAGCTCTAACCCGTGTCCGGTCCAATTCAGAATGAGTTTTCCACCACCAGATGTCTCAATGATTGCTTCATTGCCCTCAGGTCTAGGGGAAACCACGGGGCTGTCCGGGCTGCATGCAATCAGACAGGGTGCTTTGGAGCCAGACAGTCGATAACCTTGGTTAACTCCGCATTCCAACGGGTCACCAGGGAATCAGCTGAAAGGCCATCAACCTGGGATAAAATATCCCCTGCCACTCTCTGGAAACCATTTGGCTCCATTAAGTGGTGGGGGGTGGACCATCCAAATCGGTCCCACTTCCCTGCAGGGGGAAGGGTTGCGGAGAAGTCCAGTTGCACCAGGAAGTGATCTGACTATGGCACTTCTTTTGTTTCACTTTTACTTAGTGTCAGATAACCCACATTCATAAAGATGAACACCAGGTCTAAGGCATGCCCGCACTATGAGTTGAGCCAAACTTATTCAGGGACAGCCCCAAGGAGGCCATGCTTTCCATGAAGTCCCAAGCGGCCCCTTGTAAGGTCATGTCGGCATGGATGTTAAAATCCCCATGGACAATCAAACTAAGTGTCTCAAGGAGCACTTCCGCCACGACCTGAAGCAGCTTAGCCAGGGAATCCTTGGTGCAGCAGGGAGGTTGGTACACATTCCTACTTGCTGCTGCCTTTCAGCAGGGAGCAGCCTCCTCCACACTCACTGTCAGGGAACTGACATCGGAGCGAGAGGCGAAGGGGAGGCTCCTAGATGATGCAGGCGAAGGACCCAGCAGCAGGGGGAGAAACAGCTCAGTAGAGGGGGAAACAAATCAGCGCAACACCAGGGATAAAGGGGGGCAGATGGGGGAATCGGAGAGAGGGCTCCAGGACTCTTCACTGGACCTCAGTGAGGAGGGCACAGGTCCTCCGCTACCCACGCCCTCCCTGCGCAGAAGACTCCCGTGCAGTGAGAGGAGGAGGAGACTGGGTGTCAAACAACTTTTATGTTGGAAGCGGTTCAAGAAACGCCCACTGACGGATTCTGCCAGCGACTGAGGCAGCCACGATGAGAAAGGGCTGTGCAGTCAGAAAGGTTTAACAAGGCTAATTAGCCTAGAGAGGCACCAGTTTACGCACGAGTAACTCATACCCACTACACTCACAAAGCAGCATCAGTGTCCCAATGTCCTCCTGGAGCCTTTTAGCTGTAGGTAAGTGTGGGCTCCGTCCCCTAGGCCAGATGGAGAAGGGCCTTGAAGCAGGGAGCGGCCCCCTCCGCACTCACAAAGCAATATGGTGGTGAATAGAATGATCTGCACAATTCTATGGGAGGCTGGTGAATGTCCACAAGGGCCAGTCGTTATGCACATTAATTACTACATTCCCTCCAACAGAAATGTAAACATTTACAGCTTTTTAAAAATTGCTATTATCTTGTAACTGATTATACGATGCATATTCAGTAACAAGATAATAGCAACGCACACACATACACATTAAGGTTGATTGCTTTGTTATATACAACTGCATATTACAGATATGAGAATTCTGGTATATTGTTAACTTGAAAATAAATTAGATGAAGGGGGAAAATAGAAATGCAGAGAGTATGCAACCCTAATGTTTGCTGGTTATAGACACAAAGCTTCTATGTAGGGCCCATAATTTTATCCACAATACACTTAGACACTCATCCCTTCCACCTCCCCTTACAAGCTGAGGTTAGAAATTTCTTCTCCTGGTTTGTGCTAACTGTAGCTTGTAATTTTGTCTGATCCCAGCAAACTAAGGTTTCTGTGCAAATTATAGTTTGATGGGTTAGCAGGTCTAACTAGTAATATAAGAGAGCAAGAAGTATGTAAAGAGGAGTGGAAAAACTGTGGTATATTTGGAAAATAATTGCAAATAAGTGAAAACACTAGCAGCATTAAGGTAAAGTCAACAGAATAATAAAGGAAGAATAGGGGAGAAAGTGATCTAAATGGATATATAAGAATATTCAGGAACGCTGGGAAAATTAAAAGAACTAGGGAAGGGTAAGAAGGGAAGTCATGGAATGTTTTTATTAAAAGAAAGATATTAACGGTGGAAATGTATATTTGAACGTGAATGTGATTTTGGAAATCATAATAATGAAAATTATAAAACGATAGATAGATGATAGATAGATACATAGTTTGATGGGTTCATACACAATGGCAAACTACAATTTGCCACAGATCAGGACCAGCAGTTTCTGTCAGAATGCAAGGAAAGTTGGTGAGGAAAGATTCGTGAGTGCATATGAGCCTGTTCATTTCCAGATACCACGGTTTGGGATTATGTCTGAATGGTCGCATGACATATTAGCAGTTTGGGTGTAGGCAACTACAGAACTGATTCCCTCACTTACCATTCAAACAAATAAACCCCTTCACACTACATACAACTAACCAATGCTATTAGATGGTCCTGAGGATCCTGGAGACAACTGGCGCTATTGACTATAAACATTCTGATAACTTCAAATGCCTGCCCTTTAAGATGTAGCTCAAAGCATCTGGATTAGTTGTAGTTTCCAAGTCCCTTTCAAAGGTAGCCCCACATAGAGCACATTGCAGTAGTCCAAGCAGGAGATAACCAGAGCATGCACCACTCTGGCAATACAGTCTGTGGGCAGGGAGGGTCTCATCCTGCATACCAGATGGAGCTGGTAAACAGCTGCCCTGGGCACAAAATTGACCTGCGCCTCCATGGACAGCTGTGAGTCCAGAATGACTCCCAGGCTGCAACATGGTCCTTTATGGGATCACCCCTGTCTGATCTCTGAACCTGATCTCCAATTCACAGACACCTCTGTGAGGAATGCCTTCACGGTGTAAGCCCTTAGTCTTATATTTTGCTTTCTAACAGGACCAGGTTTAAAAATAAAATAAAATTGAAAGGTTGTATCAGTGATTGCGCTACGATCCTGTTTCCAGTAGGAAAGGTTGGTATGGAAAAAATCCACTGAAGATAAGAAGTTTGAAAACCACCTCTCTAGGGAACAGGTGAAGGCAGGAGATGACGCTACCAGCAACAAATATGTGAAATAATATTATCTGAGATGCAAAAGACTTTCAGCTCAGAGGTTGGATTTCTGAAAGAACAGACTACAGCCCTGGATGGCAATTTAAGTCCCATTTTTTGATAGTAATAACAGAGGAAAGAGAAAGCTACTTCCTGCTAACTTCACATGGTTTCACTCCTCACTGGCTTTACTTAACATTTATATCCTGAGGCCTATTCAGATAGTTATTTTTTGTAAAATCTAGATAAGAACCTTAACTATGTCAAACAAGATGGTATGCTCCCATTGATTTCATACCCCACTGATGTCACATAAACAAGGAATATCTGGGATGCCTAAATAATGGATGATTTTGCTACATAAAGAGAGAACAAAGAGTTGCATAATCCAGTAAGGACATGATAAATAATTGCTAAGAAGTCTTTTAAAATTATAGTGGGAAAGCGTGTTCTCCCTAACAGAGAGCACGTGTTGCGGTTGGGGGAACAAGCCACCCTGCCGTTACTGGGCAGATTTTGTGAGGAACCCAAGCCTTTAAGTGGTTAAAATTGGGTTGCTGGGGAGTTTTGATTGTTGCCAATTTGGAGGAGGGGTCAGAGTCTTTAAATACAGGGGCCAGACGTTGGACGTCCTCTTGGCCGTTTTGCACCGGATCACATGGAGCGCTTGGACAATCTTCTCATTGTCTGGTTACATTTCTTTATTTCTTTATTTCCCCTTTCTTTTTAATCCTCTCTAGTCCCTTAAATAATTTAATTCCCCCCTTTTCCTGTTCGATTTCCCACCCCACCCCTTACTCTGCCCTGTGGGAAGATTCTCCCTGTAACTGTGGCTTGCCTTTCCCAATACGGAGAGAGCCCCCGTTAGGGGCTTTCTTTTGCAAAAAGGTTTGCCCCATTTCTCTTGTTGAAATTGTGGGGCTAATCAGGGCTGTTCCCAGCTTAGCTGGAATCATTTTCGTTTATACTATCCCCGAAGGTTGGCTTTATTTTGAGTGTGTGCAGTGCTGTTGGCCAAATTTTAAGCTAGCCTTGGGTGGGAGCACTAATTTGAGTTCCTTTAATATTGCTATGAGACTAAGATTCTCAAGAGCAGAAGCAGGGAGGCCTATTCGGCCTGCACATAACTTCCAAGCCTAAGTCTGCTACAGGTAGCAGTTAATTGTTAAGTCTCTGACACGTGACTCATTCTCGCTATAGGAATGTATCTGCTTGCAGGCCCAGTTGCTGCTAATGTATATCTGAGGCAGACAGAGGGCCCCAGAGGCTCCCTGTGCCTCCAAGGACTATGAGCACTCTGTATATGCTCTTGAACTATGCTGTTTCTGAACAAGTTTATGTTCTTTAAGTTTGTTTTGCCCTGATAGTGGCGACTGCCATTTTAGAGACAAGCCATTGTGGCTTAGTGGCTAAAGTGTAGGACTAGGACCTGGGAGACAGGGTTCATATCCCCCTCTTAGCCATTGTTATAACAAAACAAAACAAACTGCTCCTTTTGGGCTATTCTGTTGCTGGGTAGTTCGGCCCATTTCTGATAAAAGAACTTTGGGTTTCTTGAAGGGGTGCTTCCCTCTAAAAGGACAAGCAGGGGTACCTGGACAAGCTGTGGGCTACCTCAACTCTGCTATTTCACTGGAAACATTTATGCCTGGCCTAGCAGGTGATCCTAGGGCTTTGCCCTAGAATTCAATGGCCTGGAAGCGTTTCCGGCCTGAATAGTGTCCCCATGTGGTCCATGAAGCATTGGTTTCACTGGGTCAGCGCATAGTGCTGGTAATGCCTGGGTTGCAGGATTGGTCCCTGTATGGGACAGCTGCATGCTCCCCATTGCTCTACCTGGACACTTAAGTCCTTTTGGTGGTTACCTCACTGCGAGGGATGTAACGGGCGCCACGTTTGCAATATGCAAGCGGGAGAAAGCACCTTTGCGTGCCCGCATTGCAGTTTGTGTGTTGCAGGGCACGGCGCTGCACGGGCTGCAATTGCATTGCATTGCATGAGAGATTTGCAGTTGCATTGCACGGAGCGTGTGTGCATTGCATGGAGGGTGTGTGTGCATTGCACGGAGGGTGTAGTTGCTTTGCACGGAGTGTGTTGTTGCATTGTACGGAAGGTGTGGTTGCATTGCACGGAGTGTGTGTGCATTGCACGGAGTGTGTGTGTATGCATTGCATGGAAGGTGTAGTTGCATTGCACAGAGTGTGTTTTTTGCATTGCACGGAGTGTGTGTGCATTGAACGGAGGGTGTAGTTGCATTGAACGGAGGGTGTAGTTGCATTGCATGGAGTGTAGTTGCATTGCATGGAGTGTAGTTGCATTGCAGGGAGTGTGTTTTGCATTGAACGGAGTGTGTAGTTGCATTGCACGGAGGGTTTGTGTGTGCATTGCACAGAGTGTGTAGTTGCATTGCACGGAGGGTTTGTGTGTGCATTGCACGGAGTGTGTAGTTGCATTGCACGGAGTGTGTAGTTGCATTGCACGGAGTGTGTAGTTGCATTGCATGGAGTGTGTGTGCACTGCATGGAGTGTGTTTTTGCATTGCACAGAGTGTGTGTCTGAAAAGGAAGCTGGCTCGGCGGCAGCTTTGTCGGGACTTCTTTAAGGGTTCTGGCCAGCCTCGGCCCTGTAAATTTACATATCATGATGGCGGCACAAGATGCCCCCTGCCCAAGCGGGGGCTGGAAGCTGGCAAGCAATAGCTCAATACCTTTTGCCCATATTCCCATTTTATTTAGGGATCCAGTTGGATATCGTTGCTAAAACATACCACTTGCCTATGGAGAAGCTGTCTGCCTTGAAGGAAGTTATTTTGTAATACTTCCTCTGTAGCAAGTGATGCTTCATCAGATCCGATCTTGCTGGGTCTCTTAATTAATCTTCCCACTAGGCCAGGCTGCCTGCGGCCTGAGGTCCCCTTACCTTTGTGTACGCCTACCAAGTGTGGTGAAGGCAGATATCAGGCGATGGTAGCAATTCCTGAATGTATGCAATAGTAGAATCATAGAATCATAGAATCACAGAGTTGGAAGAGACCACGAGGGCCATCGAGTCCAACCCCCTGCCAAGCAGGAAACACCATCAGAGCACTCCTGACATATGGTTGCCAAGCCTCTGCTTAAAGACCTCCAAAGAAGGAGACTCCACCACACTCCTTGGCAGCAAATTCCACTGTCGAACAGCTCTTACTGTCAGGAAGTTCTTCCTAATGTTAGGTGGAATCTTCTTTCTTGTAGTTTGGATCCATTGCTCCGTGTCCGCTTCTCTGGAGTTCGCCATGGCAGGATACCTTGAACCCACACAGGGATTTTCAGGTTCATGCTGGTGCTGTTGGATCTTTGCCCTTTGGTTTTTATTTCAAGGGATGCTGGTGTGCAAAGCTATGGCCTCAAGCCCGGTGTGGTGAGGCAATCATGTGACATAACTTTTCTTGAGTTTTCCCCATTGTAGTAGCAGTTCACATGTGGCCCGAGGAGTTCAGTGACCATTGGATCTGCTTTTGGTCTGATAACCAGGTAGTGGTGAGCGTCTTAGCAAAACAGTCCTCACGCTCTAGCACAGTCTCCGCCCCTCCGTTCATGCTTTCGAGCTGCGCCGCTTAAGGTTTAATATTGTGCTTTCTACTCTCCAAATTACAGGATCCTCTAATGATGTCGCTGACACTCTACCCCTTTTTCAGATGAAGTGCTTCAGATCCTGGGCTCCAGACTCAGCTATTGCCAGACTTTTCCAGACCACCTGTGGCATTTTGACAACAATTAGTAATTACAGAGAGCAGCAGCTTCCATTTCCCCTTCTGCTTTTAGCTCTTATGGGAAGGCCTGGATGGATTTCTTAGCCTTAAGCTGGCAGTCCTCGGCCATTCAGATGAACTGGCCCCCATCCTCTGAGCAGATCCGCAGTATTTGGTCCACCTGCTGCAGATTGGGCGTGCGTTATAACTATCAGAATTCAGTCCGCTGCAATGTCTGTTACACTGAAGCTTTATTTTTCAGAGACCCTTGTATAAAGTTTGTAGTGCTCCAACCTCATAGGACAGTGGGCAGGAAGCCGGTCAATTTTTACCTATGCAGTATCTGCAACAAGTTAAAACTTGTCTGCTGGTTAAAGATCAAGGCGAGACTCCTTTCAGTAGTCCATTGCATTTTCGCACTGAGGCTTGGGAAAATGGTTGTTGGAGCCAGCATGGGGCTGAGAGTCTGGAGGCTTATTGCTTCAGGACTTTTCCTTATCCTTTGGAGCTTGTCATTAGAGTTGGGAACTCTAAAACAGACTTAGTGGGCAGGAGTGCCACAATCAGGCTTCCCGCCACAGGTGAGGAGGGCCCTTGCCCGGTTATGGATACCAGAAATATTTGGCTTTTCATTCCCCTGGGGGCTGGCCCGCTCCTAGTGCATGAAAATGGGTTCCCGTTAGCCAGGCATCAATGTGCTTACGTCGTGCAGCAGTTATTACGGCCTGCGGCTTGCTTACCGCTGAACACGCCTCATTCCTTACGATTGGGTGCTGCTGCAAAGGCTGCACACTGGGGGCCTGTCAGTAGACAGGATTGTGAATACGGGTCATTGGAAGTCTGACGCTGACAAGGGTTATATCAGGAAGTGTCACAATGATGTCTTTGCTGATGCTTGTCAGTTATTTCCTTTTTTCATAGGAGCAGCTGTGCACATTTGGGCCACAGCATTGTACACTAGGCTGGCAAGCAGGTTGACGAGTTTGGACTGGGGCGCCATCTCAGTCTTCCTGCCCATGTGAACATATACTGGATGTCCAGATGGGAATGCTTTGGGAGCAGATCCTTCCTTTGGTGCGGTCGAGTGTGACCTGTGCAGGTCCTCCCGCAGTGCTGGTGGTACAGCTGGGCGAGAATGTTTGCTGTCTTCCTCCAGCATAAGTTTGCATTCCTGCATGCAAGAGGGCTTGGATTGAGTTGATGGCAGCTCTCCCAGGACTCAAAATAATTTAAGGCATTGGTTCAAGGTGGTCTGGAGGGGGTTGGAGCACCTGTCCCTCCAATGCGCAAAGATATTCCATTAAGGGAATCCAAGGATTCACCATGCTTTTGTCGACCCCTTTCGAGGGGTAGGGGCACGCAAGAGTCCCTGGGAGCATTTGGGGGTGAGCTTGAGTCTGATCCTGGTTCATTGCTCCCCCACGCTGTTTACTGGTACTGACGATATGGTGGGGTCCAGTCGTCAGTGCTGCCCTGCTGAGGTCAGGTGCAGCCAGTCAGGAACCAATGCCTAGACAAACTACCACCGAGCAGGCCAGAAACATGTTAATAAGGCGGTGGACAATAGAATAAAATAAATAAAGTAAATAAAATAAAATAACAAATAAAATAAAATAGGTCCTTGCTTTAGGTGGTTCTGTAATATTGCACCCTGCTATTTTTCTTCAAGGCTGTTGCTCTCTTTAGGGCAGATGGGGTGCATCTTTCCCCTATGGGGAACGACACCTGGCGGGATGCGATTGCCTTGGGATTCATTGCTCCCCCACAATGTTTGCTGGTACTGACGATATGGTGGGGCCCAGTCGTCAGTGCTGCCCTGCTGAGGTCAGGTGCAGCTAGTCGGGAACCAATGCCTAGACAAACTACCACCGAGAAGGCTGGAAAGCGTGTTAATAAGGCAGTGGAAATAAAATACAGGTCATTGGAAATCGAATGCATTCAAATGTTATGTTTGTTAACATTATTGGTGTCTTACAATTTTTGCTTGTTTTATCTTAGGTTTAGCAGCTGTCCGCATCTGGATGGTGGGGCACAGCATCAGTGCACGGCAGTCCGGTTTGGGACCGGGTCTCGGCCTTCCTCCACATGTGCAGTTGCTTTGGCTGTCCAGACGGGGAATGCGCCAGCCAGAATTCCTGCTGCTGATTCGGAGGCAGGTGCTGCTGGAAGGGCCGCCCACTGCTGTTGGGGTGCAGCTGGGTGAGAACGACCTGGTTTCCATGGACTGTTTTTCACTACGTGCTGCAATTTTGGGTGACCTGGAGAAGCTGCGGGCAGTGGTGCCGACAGCAAAAATATTTTGGTCAAAGCTTTTGCAACGACGTGTTTGGAAGGGTAGTCGTTGCCCAGCTGCCACTGAAAGGGCCAGGAAGCGCATCAATTCTGCGGTGTCTAAAAAGATTTTTGAGCTGGATGGAGATGTGATTTCCCATCCTGAGATTCTTTTTCAGGCTGCATCCTTTTTCAGAGCTGATGGCGCGCATCTTTCTGCCTCAGGGAATGAGGCTTGGCTGGGTGCAGTGGTGGCCAAGCTGAGGGCTTGGTTGGGTCTGTGAGTGGTTTGGCGGTGAGCTGTGGGCTCCATGGCGGTTAGGCATTGGTTAAATTGGTGCTTGGAGGGGTAAGTGCCTATCCCTCCAAATGATGCGGAAAGGGAATTCCGTTAAAGGAATCCAGGGGCTTGCCATTCTTTTCGTCCTTGTCCCTGGAATCGGACTTGGGCCGTGCAAGCCCCACAGGAACATGAGGGTGAGAAGTGAGGGGCTGATACCCAGCTTCATTTTCTCACCCAATACTTGTTTCCCACGCTGGCTTCCGTTGGTGTCCGGAAGGCCAGCTCTGTCCCTGAGGGCAAGGACAGATAGTCATAACCAATGCCTAAGCAACCACTCACATTTTTTGTATTTTGAATAAAGTTGTGGCCAAAATTATGCCAAAAACCTTAAACAAAAATTGATGTGTGAAGTGTGAATTTTTTGAGGGGTGGCATTGTGGGACTCAACACGCAAAACAAAGTATCTTTCTGGTTCCAAGTGTGATCCCTATTGAAAAATTGATCTCCCAAGATCAAGTGTGTGCTTGAAAAACCTGAATCATTCATACCGTCAATCATTTTAATGTAACATGAAGGTCAGTTATAACTTCAAAAACCAGTTATACCCAGGTTGGTTGCTAATGATATGGGACATTGTAATTTACAAATTATATTAGGACTAGGGAAGGTCAATAAGCTGATAACAAGCTATTGATTTTTTTTAATAGTGCAAATGTTTTCTGTAGAATAACATGCATTATTGGAAACATTCTAAATTTCATGTAAGCTATGAATGATGACATTTAATGGGTTTGTGATTCTTTTGCACTGGTTTGTAACTTACTGATCATTATGTTATTTTTTTCTTTTTCTATTGTGAGATTAAAGTGCTGCTTAGTAAATGAGTTTTTTTTTATGTAACAACAATACAAATAATGCATGACAAAATGGCAAGAAAAGATTTTGCCACAGCTTTTGTGAATATTGAGGGTTTTATGTACATCTTAAAAGAAGAACTGTGCTTCAGTACTTCCAGTAACTATGAATGTGGTTTCATAATTAATTTTCCAAAACTATAAACATCAAATCTATGACATATATGAAATATTGCCAAGACAGTATTCCAGGAGGTGTTGTGAAAAAATATATCAGTGTTTCAAGACTGGATGCAGAACTGAACAAATAATAAGCTAACTTTCATTGATTTTTCCATACAGAAATACAATGGACTGTAGTTTTAGGATCCAGTGACACCATTTGCTGAGTACCTGCTGCAATCATTTGGAGCCCAATTTAAAGAACGTGCTGATCTGTTATTGAATAAACCCTAAAATGGCAGTTTAAAGCCTGAAGATGCACTGAATTCTGTTCACTCATCCATTTAGTTTCATTTCTTGGTAAGTTATCTGTGTTTACATTAGCATAAAAATAGTTGGCAGGAACCAAAAAGTATTTGCTACAGTTCTGTTAATACATAATGCAAGGTTCTGCTGGGTTCTTCCCTTAAAGTCAAGAGATAATTTACAGGCAGGCAGTCTCTCTCTTAAATGTCTAATTGTGACAGCAATTCATTGTAGGCAGTGGGTTCAGAAGAGTAAATGTAATGATGAAGAACACTGTTCTCAGGTGCCCCCCATCAGTAAGAATACTCTTTGTAAAATCATGCTGAAATATTGAGAGGATGAGTGGTTCATTGTGCAAAGCTATTGACAAAAGTGTGAGTCTGCTACGGAGTGCGGAATGTAGAATATACACCAGAGTAAAGACCTTTTTGTGCCTTCATGTACCAGTTCAGTTGCCAAATGCACATGAATTCTAATGGAATGCCAATAAATGAACATAAATTGGAAGCAACTGCATGGTCCTCTGTTGAGTAGCTGTCCTAGCTGAGCTTCCACTTTTTCTTGAGTTGGCATAGGACACTTTTATTCACGCCTTCTTTTGGTGGCCCGGGCAGGGTAGAATAATTATCAGCAATGTGTTCTGAGCCCTGAGAGGCAGACCAGAAAGGAGAGAGCAAGACAGAGGTGAAGAGGGGTCTCCTTTGAATGTGGGACAGTAGACCAGGTATGTGATGTCCTGCCTTGCACTAGAAATCCAGAGCATTCTTTAATGCAGCGCATGACAGATGAGAGAATCTCTGAAGGTGAGCAAGGAATCCCACAAGAGCCAGCTCAAGAACTGATGCTTGGGAGCATTCAGCTCACCCAATTACTATTTGATTAGTGGGAAAGTTTAATGTCTAATATCCATGTCATGTAGTTCATATGTGACAGATCTGCTGAGAGTACCAGAATCAAAATAGTACATGTTAAGCTACAGAAAAGCAAAATCCCTCTAAAAAGTAATAACAATAATAATTTAATAACAATCTATTATTTGTACATTGCCCATCTGACTGAGTTGCCTAGTAGATACAGCTGTGTGTTTGTACTCTTTTTAAAAATAAAATAAAATATTTTTATTAAGTACAAATTAGAAAACATACATTTTCACAACAAAATACAAAAGAAAAAGAAAATACATCTAACCAAGGAAAAAAACTTAGAGAATATTTTGTCTCTTTTCATATTTACAGTTATTTATACCTCTATAAAATGCTATTCACAATAAAGCAGTGAAATGAAAGATAAGATATCAGAAAAAAGAAAAAAGAACAAAGAAAGAATAAAGAAGTAAAAGAAAAATATCATAGGTGGAAATTTTTTAAAGTAGATAAGTACTCACAATACATAGCCGTTTCCCATCTATATTTATATTCTTTCATAAAATAGAAAGAATATATTCAATTGTATCATTGTATAATTGTATATTCAATTGTATAATTTCATCTTGTCCTTATCTACCTTAAATAAAGTGTGGTGTGTTTTTTAAAAAAAGACTTCCACCATTTACCTCACACGTTTTTAATAATCCGTTCATCAGAACCTCTGTTCTTCATATTTTCCCTTTGGATTTCCTTAATGTCTCACTTTGTATTTTTTATATTACACACAGGATTATTCTAAACACAACCAGATTTTTGTAGTCGAGCCCTGGTTTTGTAAATAATCATTTAAGAACTCCCATTGCTTCATAACCATAGTTTTGGATTATAGGGAAATAATATAGAGGGAAATATTAGAGGATGCAGACGGAAATATTAAATTAAAAACTTACGAACAATTACAAACATTTGGAATAAATTGGTTACAATATTATCAATTAAAAGCAACATATGAAAAAGACAAAAAAAGGGGATTTGAAAATAAAACCTCAAAATTAGAAAAGGAAATATTGCAAAGCGATAAAAAAATACTTGCAAAAATGTATAGATTATTAATGAAAACCATCTTAGAACAAGAGACGAAAGGGGAAAACATGTTAAAATGGAAGCACGATTTGGGATATGAGATAGATCTGGAAAGATGGAAAACTTTTTGGAAGGAAAACATAAATTTTACTGCGTGTGATTTATTAAGGGAGAATTTCAGAAAAATTCACCACAGATGGTACTTAACCCCTGACAGATTGTCAAAAATAAATAAAAGGAACAATGACAAATGTTGGAAATGTAACAGAACAAAAGGTACGTTATACCACATGTGGTGGACTTGCCCAAAGATTAAAACCTTTTGGGACATGATCCACGACGAAATAAAAAAATTGATAAGGACATCACACACAAAAAAGGCAGAAGCATATCTATTAGGAATTCTAGATAAAGATGTCCCAAAAGATAAAATTAACTTATTTCTATGCGCGACAGCATCGGCAAAAATTTTGATTGCTAGCTATTGGAAAGAAGACAGCATCCCAACAAAAAGAGAATGGTTGGGGAAACTTTGCAAGTACCTGGAACTAGCAAAACTGTTTGTACACACTCTATTCCTGGCATTGGATTCTGCAGCTGCTTGTGATGAAATTGCAATGTGTTAGTACACTGGTGTAAGGGGAAGGCATGTTCAGTGCTTTTAGACAGAGGAGGCTGAATCAAGCCTTTAGAATTTACTAACTGCAATTGGATGATAGTCTTTGCTTTTTATATACATAATGCACCATAATGAATATTTTTGAAGCATCTAATACCATCTCCCTTTTAAGAGGGAATTGGTCAGAAACATTACTGTGTGCTTTCTATATACTGCCAAAATAATCCTGTTATACTGAGGGCTCCAAAACAAACTGGGTTTGTTAAATTACAGCTGTAGGAGTCTTTGGGGGTAATGTCTGTTTTCTATACAAACACTGTTTGTTTGAGATAATTACTGTTAAAAATATTAATTGTTATCATGCTAATTTGACCTATAAATATGACACTCCTGTACACTCGTTGCCCCAAAGCATACAGTTCAGCTATACTCTTGAAACAAATGGTGCTTTGAGGGCTTATCCACACTTCTTCTTTTCATCTTCATATAGGCAGCCTTCTGTGAGAGATAGTTAACTTTGTTGCATACATTTGATCTCATAGTCTTCTTATCCAACAGGTTTCTTCAGTCCCCCTGTTAAGCTAATAGATACAGAAATGCCCTGCATCATTGTCTGGTTGGTGGAGAATGTTCTTTTTGCTGTGGTGGGAACCTGGGGCATTTGGATACATGTGGCCCAAAGGTCCCTCACTAGTCTCGCATGTGTTCTTGGGTCCCTTTTGGCTTACTCTGGGCCCCTTAGATGTCTTATGCCCACTCTTGGCTCTCAGACATCAGACATGCCTTGAGCATGTGCACACAGAGAAGCAAACTGCAGCTGAATCCAGTTTGTGGAAAGAGCAGGAGACGGAGGTTACAGCTGCCCGAATGGTTCATGCGTATTGTGCTGGCATGTTACCTTTCTGAATTTTGCACACCCAGCAGCAGTAGCTCCAGGGAGGGGAGGAAGGTGGCACCCAAGAAGCTGCTGAATCCATGTCCCAACTCTTGGTGCAATTAGAAACCAGCAGTGATTATTAGAGGCAAACGTTGCCCCACCTTATTGCAACCACCTCCTAAACTCTTGCACAGAGCAAGTGCTTCTGAACAACTGCCCCTCTCTCAGTCTCTCCCTTTCTTAAAGAGACTGGAGAGGGAGGGAAGAGAAGGGGGAGAGGAAGAGATGTGTGGCAGAAAAAAATAAGTGAGAGGAAATGACTGCCTCTGGCTCCGCCAGCAACTGAATTTTCACATGGGTCAGTGGCTCCCCAGTGGCACTGCATCCTTTGTTGGCACCCAGGTGGGTGGGCACGGGGCACAGAGGGTTCATGGGGCCACACTGCACCACCTGCTTGCACAGAGGGGAGACAGATGGCCAATACATCCCCCCCCCCCAATGCTGGCCAGATTCAGCAAGCGGAAGAGGAGTTCAACGGGGGCATGATGCAAGACAAGGCCTGACTCCAGGGCTCACAGACCCCTGGTGGCAGGCAGGGCAGGGATTCCCGCGTGGGGGCACCTGACTCATGTCCCTTCAAAATCATGTGCCCAGAGCTACGGCCCCCTGCCCCCCATGTTATGCCCCTGGGCTCTCCATGCCCCGACTTAGAGGGGAGAATTTATCTGTATCCAGTCCCAATATTAAAGGGGCAAAGAAGAATAGGTTGTGAGTAGGATACAATCTGTTTTATTATCTGTGTATGTCAAATTGAATCTATACCCCAGGAAAAAGGTAGAGCATAATGATGGAATATAATGGCGCCTGGCACACTTCTTCCTGTGCCGATAGAAACCTTGAGCTCTCTTCCTCAGCTCTTAGCAGAGTATCGCAGAGTATTGCAGCAGCAGAAAAGGTGCCTTGTGTGTGGATAATAACTCGGTTTCTCCCGGCTCGAACAATACTAATGCTGACTGAAACACCTCAGGGTTCACCCGTATGTGAACAAAACCACGCCTCAGAATGTGAGACGACACACAGAACTGTTTAACCCTGTAAGTTCTGATTCTCCTCACACATAATTCAGTGAAGGATTTTGTAATGTACCATTGTGTTAAGGTCCCCAAAGCCAGGGTGACCTTTGTTCAATGAACACATCATTCTTCTCATCAGCAATAATCACTAGCTGATTCTCACAACCATGATTTCTGCTGTGTTCTCTAACTCTGAAGTTCCTCACTGAGAAGATCTGTGAAACTGGAACCTTCATTACTGATTGTCCCCTGCAGTGTGCAGCCACAGAGGTATGAAGAAGGGGTTCTGTTCATCTGGGGCTATGCGGAAGCCCAACTGGTCTTTTTGAATGGATTGCCCGTCCTAGAACAAAGGTGAACCACCTTGGGCAGCCCTTCTGGAACCACGTGCTAAAGGTGGGTGGTGTCAGAGGAGCAAGTGCTTTGCACCATGCAAAGTAGCCTACATCCAACTGCATAATGTTTCTGCACATTGCTGCCACCGCCACTGCTGCCATTTCTCCATCCACCACCCAGGCAAAACCCAGGTTCAAGCACAAAACCATGGAGGAGGGCAAGTAAGATCGTGGCCTGGGTAGAGTCATGACGGCTAGATAATGATTCCTAATGAGCTCCCTTCTTCCTTGCTGCCCTAGGACACATTCTAGAACCCTCTGCATCAGGCCAGGCTTTCATAACAATCTACAAAAATGAAAACGCAACATGCTGGCTAATAACTGTTAATGAATATATAATCGGTTATGATGGCATTCAAAATATACAAATAAGCCACTTCAAAATGGTGTATATATCATACAACACATCTCACAAAATATACACTACAAGTTGTTACATGTATCAGAGTCAAACAGAGAATCAAACAAATCAATGAATAGCGAGGAACGCCAAGCCGTCTCTCAAAGGAAGACATCTCTCCGAAGTCTCAAAAGGACAGTATATCTGGAATAGTTCAACTGTTTCAGAATAAAGTCTTCATCGGCTAGAAATGGAATATAAGGCACTGCAAGCAATGAATGACAACAAAACTGAGCAACCTGCATATAAGTTATACAGTAGAACAAAATATATATAAAGAGATACATACCGAATAATTATCAATGAAATATTCATACTAGTGGATCAGGGCTCACTGGATAGTGTAGCTGCTGATGCTTACAACACAAATGCATAGGACATATACAGCTGACCACAGGTGTCTCAAATAACAATTATTGAAGACAATGTAAAGAAACTTAAAGAACAGAACGTCAATTCTGGCATCACAATGGAAAGACAACCCATAAAGTGACAGACTTAAAATATAACAGATTTGGATGGTTTTGAAATAGTATTAGAATATAACAAATTTTACATACAACAGATTTCAAATAAAACAATTGAAGTCGAGTTCTGAAATCAATCCCCCCAGATATGTGGATTTAAACAAATAGATTAAATGGGTTTCTTGTTGACACAATAACCGTTCAAAATCTTGCCCAACCCCACGTTTCTTCTGGTTCACCCATAGTACTGTAAATAATAAATCTGTATCCAAATGGTGATGTGTAATGAAATGTTCAACCAGAGGTGCCTCCGTTATTGCATTCCTTATACAGGAATGCTCGTGTTGTGGAACCAATGTACAGTAAGTTACACAGACATCTGATGAGATAAACTACATCTTTAGTTTGACATGTACTAAAATGACGGATGGTGAACCTAAAGCTAGAATTTTTGTCATAAATCTCTTTAATCTGTAACGAGAAGGGGCAGGATGAACATCTGCCACATTTATAATGACCGTAGGGCTGGTATTGACAATGGAATGAGTGGGAGACTTCCGGTTTGGCGCCATCGGTAATGGCGGATTCCCTCTGACTCTGAGGGACTTAGCTCTGCGGGACCCGGCGAAGCGGGGACCCTTCTAAAATCACAGGTGGGTGAAGCCTGTGACCGTGGGACTCGGTGGCCACCTTTCGCGCTCCCCCAATTTGTAAAGGAACCCAATTACGGGCTCCGGAGTGAAGCGGGGTGAGCGGCGCGGTGCTGAGAGTCAACTGCTTCTTCCGTGGAGCGAAGCCGCACAGCCGTTACCGGAGAGCGCTGACTTTTTCCTGTGACAATCCGGCTACAAAAACAACTACCCGTGAGTAGGTTAAAATTGGAAATAAAGGAAAACAAAGACTTAATTTGGCACCGAAGCGGGGAGGCATAAACAGGAAGTCCGCCTTCCGTTTCTTGTAAATAGATTAAAGCAAAGAAGTTGTAAGCTAAGACCTGGAAAGTCGATTGAAAAGGACTATAATCCTAACATCAAAACAAGCGATTTCCCCCCTTGGTTGCAGGAGAGGAGAGGGGAAAGGTGTGAACTATATTTTCCTGCAAAAAGAGAGGAAAGGAAATAAAAATCCACCGCTTAAAACCTGGGAACGGGCTGCCAATGGACAATAAGATTGCCATATTGTGAAATGCGCTGCTTGTGAATACTTTTTGACAGCTAACTCTGCAAGAGAGATACATTGTTTCTGGCTGGTTTCTCCTGATTTTAAAGTAACTGGAAACTAACTGAAATTGAAATTGTTGCCTATTTTGTGAATTGGGGGATTAAAAAGAGTTATTTTTTAATGCAACAAGCATTGACTGTTACTGTGTCCCCCTAGAGGAAGTTTGAAATTGTTACAACAACTGGGCCAGGGGAATTTTCCACTTCAAAACAAATTCTGGCCGTGGGATTGACCTTGGGCTTCAGCTAGAGTGTTATGGCAGATGGAAAAGAAAAAATAGACTTGCTTCAGGAAAAAACAACGAGGTCTGGTAAATCTTGGCAGCAGCGAAGAGCATCAGCATCTGGCCCTTCTGCACCATCAGGGGCTGCATCTGTACAATTTAAATCAAAAGGAATGGCATCTGAAGATGTTTTAGCTCTGGCATTAGGTAAAATTAATGAATCTTTGGAAAAATTAAGTAAACAAGTAGCTGAAGCATCAACTAAAATTGACCAAAACACTACAAGCATTAATAATTTGGGACAGAAGGTGAACACTAACACAGAAACTATTGAGAAATTGCTACAGGAATCTACTTTGACCCGAAAGACAGCTGAAGAAGCAAAGGAAAAAGCAGTTGCTGTAGAGGAGAAGATACCACCGATACATAGGCAACTCGAGGACCATAGGTCGATGTTGTCTATGATTGAATTGAAGGAGAAACAAACGAACTTGAGGATCAGGGCCGTACCTGAACTTGAGAAAGACAACCTGATTGACTTTCTTATACAGGAATTTGCAGACTTTTGGGACCTAGATTTGGAGAAAGAAGACTTTAAGATAGTGAGTGCCTTTAGGCTTGGAAGAGGGGGGAAGAAGAACAGGGTAAGAGACTGTTTGATCACCCTCTGAACAAAAGAGGAGAGAGACAAAATCTTGAGTCTGCACTTTCAGAAGACCCTGGAAATACATCAGTCAAGAGTGGAGATATTTAAAGACATCCCGAAACATCTTTTGGACCTTAGGTCCAATTACGGAAATTTGGTTGCCCTGTTGAGAAGTAACAGAATTATCTTTAGGTGGGAATTTCCCCAAGGCCTATCTTTTAGCTTTAAAGGAAAAAAGATAAAAATAAGATCAGTGGACGACAAAGAAAGATTTTTGAAAGATCACGGAGAAGATTTGCAGAAAGAATCTGGAGAAGAGCCAAGAGCATTAGAAAGAGGAATATTAGACATAGCAACACTACCTTTTGGACTGGACTGCTCAGAGAAAGTGATACCCCCGACAGAACAAGAACAAACACTTGGCGCAGTTGGAGGAAAAGCAAAGTAACTACATCATGGCTCTGCAACTATTAAGCTGGAATACTAATGGTCTCAACTCCCCCCAGAAAAGGAAAAGAGTTTTTCATTTATTAAAAAAGGAACAATTGGACTTGATTTGCTTACAGGAAACACATGTGATAAGGCTACATAGAAAAGTATTGATCAATAAAAGACTGGGTCAAGAGTTTATCTCATCGGACAAAGTTAAAAAAAGAGGAGTAGTGATTTATGCAAAGGAGAGTTTATCACCGAAAGTTATCTTTAAAGACGACCAAGGAAGATTTGTGGCAATTGAAATTCAAATTCAAGGAGAGAAATTTCTGATAGTAGGAGTTTATGCACCAAATGAGGGGAAATCTGAATTCTTTAAAAAGTTGCATGAGACCTTGATGGACTATTTGGACTATAATGTGATTTTGATGGGGGATATGAATGGAGTGGTATCTACAAATATGGACAAGGCACAAAGACAGGTAGTCACTAAGGACGGTAGACTACCGAAAACCTTTTTTGAGATGACAGACAACTTGGATTTAGTTGATATTTGGAGAACAAAGAATCCCTTGGGTAGAGAGGGAACCTTCTTCTCTGAAGCCAAAATGACATGGACAAGAATTGACCAAATATGGGTAACTAGAGGAATGGCACCAAAGACAAGAAAAGTGGAAATTTGTCCAAAAACCTGCTCCGACCATAATGCCGTGAAGATGGAGATGAAACTAACACCAACTGGCTCTTTCAGATGGAGGATGAATGGCACCTTATTTAGAGATGAAGAAGTGATTAAGAAGGCCCAAAAAACCTTGAGAGATTATTTCAAGATAAACATGAACACTACTGTTGAAAAAAGAGTAATCTGGGACGCAAGTAAAGCGGTTATGAGAGGGTTTCTGATACAACAGAATGCAATAAAGAAGAGAATCCAAAATGAGAAGAAATATAAAATTTTGGAGAAAATAAAGGAAAGTGAGAAGAAATTGAGAGCAAAACCAAAGTCGCAAGAGATTTTGAGAGAAATAAAGTTATATCAAGTACAATATATGAAAATGATGAACCAGGAAATAGAATGGAAAATCAAACAAATGAGACAAAAGACATTTGAGTCGGCTAATAAATGTGGGAAATTGTTGGCCTGGCAAATGAAAAAAGGATAAAAACTAAACACTATTATAAATCTAGAAGTGGAAGGAAAGAACATACAGAACCCAGTCGAGATTAGAAACTGTTTCCAGAGGTACTTTAAACAATTATATACACAAGGGCCACAGAAAGAAATTGATATAGATCGATTTTTGAAAATAAATGGATTACAAAAATCTCTCAAGAAAACAAATTAATGTTGAATTATAAAATAACTGAACAGGAGGTAGAAGGTGCCATTCAGAATATGCAATTAGGTAAATCTCCAGGACCGGATGGACTGACTTCTAGATACTACAGAGTTTTAAAAGAATGGTTAGTACAACCTCTAAAGGAAGTCTGTAATGAAATATTGGAAGGGAAGAGGGCACCAGAGTCGTGGAAGGAAGCGTATATCACACTTATACCGAAAACAGAGACTGAAAAGACGCAGCTCAAGAACTACCGCCCCATATCACTGCTTAATGTGGATTATAAAATCTTTGCAGATATTTTGGCTAAAAGACTAAAAAAAGTGCTAGTGGAAGAGATTCATAAAGATCAAACAGGCTTTCTCCCGGGTAGGCACTTGTCTGATAATATGAGAAACATAATTAATATTTTAGAAAAATTACAAGTGAATATTAATACCAAGGCAGTTTTGATATTTGTGGATGCGGAGAAAGCTTTTGACAATATTTCTTGGAGTTTTATGAAGAAGAACCTACAGGGGATGGGGGTAGGTCAAGGTTTTGGAAATGGTATAAGTGCAATTTATTCTGAACAAAAGGCCAAATTAATTGTTAATAACGTGGTGACAGAGGAATTTAAGATAGAAAAAGGGACACGACAAGGTTGCCCAATCTCCCCATTGCTTTTTATATCGGTCCTGGAGGTCCTGCTGAATATGATTAGAAGGGACCAATTGGTTAAAGGTATACAAGTTGGAGCTAAACAGTACAAATTGAGAGCATTTGTAGATGACTTAGTATTGACATTACAGGAGCCAGAATCTAGTACTAAAAGAGTTTTGGAACTGATTCAAGAATTTGGTCAGGTTGCAGGATTTAAACTGAATAAGTTAAAAACAAAGGTTTTAGAGAAAAAATTAACAGCGATTGAGAGAGAGAGGTTTCAGAACGAGACAGGCTTAACAGTGGTTAAGAAAGTGAAATACCTGGGAATTAACATGACAGCTAAAAATGGGAATTTATTTAAAGACAATTATGAAAAATGCTGGAAGGAAGTGAAAAAAGATTTAGAAATTTGGTCAAATTTGAAGCTTTCACTGCTAGGCCGTAGGACGGCCGTAGGACGTAGAATTACAATGCCACATGAGCGAAATGATCAAACATCCAGCGATAAGGGACCATGGGAGAGGTTTCTCTCCAGCTAACTATCTGTCAGGTCTTCAGGTACCCAAATACAGACGGTCTTTTACCCTTGCCAGATTCAACGTTCTCCCTTCTGCCTTACTTCAGGGCAGATTTGAGGGTAAACCATACACAGCACGGGTCTGCCCTTGTGGCTCGTTGGAAGTTGAAACTGCTTCACATGTACTATTACGCTGTCGTTTTTATGAGGATATACGTTTGACTTTTATTACACCTGTTTTGCAAAAGTCCAGGAAAGAATCGGAACACCATAGTTTAAAATTACTGCTAGAGGACAAGAATCCCAAGACTACATTAAATGTAGCCAAATTCTGTGCGTCTGCAATTAATCGCAGGAAGCAAGTGGTATCCCATAATGACCAAACCCCCAAATGTTAACTATAGGGGGCACGCTAATAATTAATTTTAATTTTTTATATTTAAATCCTTGTTATATTTATATTGTCCTCTGTATTTCTGATTTTTTTTATGATCTGTGATATTGTGTGTGTTGACGCTGGTCTGTGACCGTATTAATAAATTCATTCATTCATTCATTCATTCATTCACTGCTAGGCCGCATTGCTGCGATAAAAATGAATGTATTGCCTAGAATGTTGTTTCTGTTTCAAACATTGCAAATTTTGGATAAAATGGATTGTTTCAAGAAGTGGCAGAGAGATATTTCTAGATTTGTCTGGCAGGGCAAGAAGCCTAGAATAAAATTACTAAAATGACGGATGGTGAACCTAAAGCTAGAATTTTTGTCATAAATCTCTTTAATCTGTAATGAGAAGGGGCAGGATGAACATCTGCCACATTTATAATGACCGTAGGGCTGGTATTGACAATGGAATGAGTGGGAGTCATATCAGTATGCACTAGTATATTCTTAATAGACTTAGTCCTCCTAAGGCCGACGAGGGGAAAGTCCATAGAATGTGCCAATGTTTGTGAATGGTCCTAATAATTCTATCTGCATAAGTGGTGAATTCTAACGATCCCGCGACATGCGTGTTCAACGTTGATAATGGGTTCAGGGTGAGGAGTGTTGAACGGTCCTTTAGTATGGATCTTTGTTTAGACATATTAATGACTGAACTAGGATATCCCCAGAGCGGAGAGAATCCAAAAGAGCATCCATACTATTAAGAAAATCATGATTAAATGAAGAGTTTCTTTTAATTCATAAAAAATGTCCATATGGTAGGTTGTCCTTAAGAAGTCTAGGATGAAAGGAAGAGTAACGTAGTAAAGAGTTGCAGTCGGTGGGCTTCGGATAAGGTTTAACAGACAGATAGCCATCCTGTTTGATGACTTCGACATCTAGGAATGTGCATGAAATGGAACTATGATGTCCAGAAAAGGATAAAGAAGGGTGGATGGAATTAATTCATGCCAAGAAGCTGAAAAGAAAAAATAAATCATCTATGTATCTGTAATAAAGTAATAAAGATGAAGAATAGGGGTTGTGATGTAGAATATGAGCTTTTTCAAAAGAATTCATGAAAATATTTGCTACTGAGGGGACTAGGGGACTAAAGGAGATCCCATCACTACTCCCTGCGATTGAAAATAAAATTGATCCATAAACCAAAAATAATTCTTTTCTAACACTACATTTACATTTACTGTATGTCCAGTAAATCAAGTAAGAATTCAGTAGGGGGAGAGGGGTCCAAACATGATTGCCAGAGATGACTGATGATGAACTGTGCTTCATCTAGAGGGATATTGGTATAGATGGAGGCTACATCTAAAGATGCTAATATAATTTTAGTAACTCTAGTATGCTCTATTGCACAGATAAAATGAGCCATATCTTGTAGGTAGGCAGGAGAGTCCCTGGCAAAAGGTTGTAAAAATGAATCTTAATATTTGGCAATGGGTGCCAGAATGGAACCGGAACCCAATACTATCAGTCTACCTGGCAGGGAGCGTACGGATTTTAGGTAAACAATAAAAAAATGGGCGTACAAGGATAAGAAGGCAGGAGAAACTCGAAAGTGTGTTTGTCAATTACCCCTATTGAATATGCATGATGTAATACTGGTTTTAGAATGGTAGCTATAGAATTTGTGGGATCTTTGGCCATTTGAACATTAAAAAGGGGAATCAGAAAATAATATTGTGGCCTCTTCCACATACTGTTGTCTATTCTGGATAATAATACTCCTTTGTCTGCTGGTTTAATAATTATAGTGGTGTCATTAGAAAGGTTATTGAGACAGGTACGTTGTGACTTCGTTAGATTGTCCCTAGCTCTAGGGCCCTTCTATTCTAGCTTTTCCAAATTGCGGGTAACTAATTGCTGGAATAATGAGACAGAAGGAACTATTCCGGATATACTGTCCTTTTGAGACTTCGGAGAGATGTCTTCCTTTGAGAGACGGCTTGGCGTTCCTCGCTATTCATTGATTCGTTTGATTCTTTGTTTGACTCTGATACATGTAATAACTTGTAGATACTTGTATATTTTGTGAGATGTGTTGTATGATATATAAACCATTTTGAACTGGCTTATTCATATATTTTGAATGACATCATAACTGATTATATATTCATTAACAGTTATTAGCCAGCGTGTTGTGTTTGCATTTTTGCAGATTGTTACATTTTGCAACACAGGGGTTTGTGTTTGTCCAGGCTTTCATAATAGACATGAAAGATCAGCTTAGCAAATGAGCGCAGATGAAAAGAGTACCCTGGGCAGAAAGCTTTCTAAGCACAAAAAAGCACAAAAAAATCCCAAACCCCACTGTTGTAAGTGATTAATAGGACAAATTAATTTTTCTGACTATTTTCAAATAGTTTCTCATTGTTTTGGAAGTAACATCTACCCCCTTATTGATAGACTAATATTTAAGAAGGTAAATAAATAAATAAATAAATAAATAAATACTGGCCTATACAGAGAGTATACATTATTTCTTACAATGCTATTTACAAAGGAATTTTGTAAAGCAGAAATGCAATTCAGCCTGAAAGAACAAACGAAGGCTTAAAACATCATAAACAATACTCCAGAGGAGAGCAATCAAAATGTATCTCATACCCCTGACAGTATATTGAAATGGGCTTATTGTCTTCTAAAGCAACTACTCTATTCCCAATCTAAGAATGGAAAGCTGGTGGACAACAAAAGATGTTTAAAGACTCTCTCAAGGCAAATCTTTAAAAATGTAGTATAACCACTGATAACTGGGAAACATTGGCCTGTGAGTGCTCCAACTGGAGAACAGCCTTTACCAAAGGTGTCATGGACTTTGAAGAAGCACGAACTCAGGAAGGGAGAAATGAGCTAAGAGGAAGGCACATTTGACAAATCCTCACCATGATCAACTCCTGCCTGGAAACCTATGTCTTTACTGTGGAAGGACGTATGGATCCACAATTGGCCTCCACAGTCACTTACGGACTCACTGTTAAGACCACATTCATGGAAGACAATCTTACTTGGCTACGAGTGATCGCCAGAGAAGAAGAAGATCAATTAGCAGAGTGAAAGACATACACTTTAACCCAACCCTCAACAGTCTGAAAAACCCTTGAGTTCACATCGGTTGATACTATGATAAGTTAAATTAATTTGCTGTCTTTTCTGTTTCCCAAAATGATTAGCAGTAGTGCTTGTTTTTATTTGTTTGCTTCTCTCTGGTGCCTTGTCAAAGTGGAATCTGCAAAACCTCAAAGTGGAATCTGAATTGTATCTGAAGAAGTGTGCATGCACATGAAAGCTCATACCAATAACAAACTTAGTTGGTCTCTAAGGTGCTACTGGAAGGAAGTTTTTATATTTTGTTTCAACTATGGCAGACTGTCAGGGAACTGCCATCGGAGCCAGAGGGAGAGGGAGGGCTCCAGAGGGATTCCGGAGAGCGTCCCGGGAGGGAGAGAAGCAGCACATCTTCTGGGGAAGGAAATCAGCGTAACACCAGTGGAGAAGGGGGGCAGATGGGGGAATCGGTGAGGTGGCTCCAAGACTCCTCGCCGGGAACCAGTGGGGAGAGCACGGGTCCTCCGATGCCCACACCCTCCCTGCGCAGAAGGCTTCCGCGCAGGGAAGCTAGGCGGAGACTAGGCATCAAAGAGCTTCTTTGCTGGAAGAAGTTCAAGAAACGCCCACTAACGGATTCTGCCAGTGATTGAGACAGTCACGGGCGCGTGGCTGTCCAGAAAGAAAGGGTTCATTCAGGCAACCAGCCAAGGGTGGCGTTGATTTACACACAAGCAACCCTTAGAACCATTACAGCAATCCGTTAGTCCCTGACGTTGCTTGTGCGTAGCCCTGGAGAGGCAGCAAGATGAGCCAAACAGGAGCAGCCGGAGAGACGGAGCAGCCAGCTGCAGTGCGGAGTCTGGTCGAGAGGAACCAAGACTTGGAGATGCACGTAGCTATCCTGACAGCGCGGCTGGAGGAAAGACGGGCTCAGGATGCACAGGTCAGAGCCACCCCCATCGCAAGGAAGGTACCGGGGCTGGTACACAAATTTGGGGGGAAGCCCCAAGACTACAATGCTTTCCGAACGGAAGTGCAGTACACTTTGGAGCTGCAGAAAAATGACTTTGCTGATGACGGGGAGAGGGTGGCTTACATTGTGGGGCATCTGCAGGATGGGGCGAGAGAATGGATCAGGCCCCTAATGGCGACGCAAAATGGTGCCTTGAAGGACCTTAATAAATTCCTTCAGGGGATGGACGCGATGTTTTCCAGTGAGGTGGAGCAAAGCATGACACGTCGGGAACTGATTGCAAGCAGGGGAGCCAGTCCGTCAGAAGCTACTGGTCGCGTTTTGCAATGTTAGTACACCGGCTCGGGTGGGATCTGGGCTCTGAACCAATACAAATGTTGTTTGAGGCGGGTCTTTCCCCCGAAGTGAAAGACGAGTTGTCCTGAGCGCCCCGCCCACGGTCGATGGATGAGCTCACAAAGGCGGTGCTCGCGATAGGCGTACGCCAAGAAGCGCGGGCTCAGGAGAAGCGGGAAATGAGAGGGGAACGTTTCCATGACTACCGCATTCCTGAGATACCGAGGGAGCCTCCCCAGGCGGCAGAGCCAATGGAAATTGATGGCGCGCGCGAGGTTTCAAACTCCCGTGAAGGTTGTAAAAGGGAGGGAAAGGACTGGAAAACTACCAAGAAGTGTTTCCTCTGTGAACGACCAGGACATTTTGCTAAGGTCTGCCCTCAAAGGAAAGCCTGGCAAGGGATGGTGGGGGCTGCAGGCCACAACGAGAAGGGGGAGGAAGAGCAGGCGCAGGGAAACGACAACCAGCAGGGGCAGCAGCCAGGCCAGCAACCAATAGAAGTGCCCCAGCCTGACCCCCCCAAGGCAGCTATAGCCATAGAAGTGGTGCTAGAACTCCCGAATGGGCACCCTGTCAAGGTTAAGGGACTGCTGGATTCGGGCAGCTCGTGTAATTTCTTCAGCAGAGACTTTGCTCTGGAGCACCAACTCCACCTGTTGCCTCTGGATTTTCCCTTGCAGGTGACAACCATCGATGGCAGGGAACTTCTGGGAGGGGAAGTGACACACCAGACCCTGCCAATGCGAATGAGGGTTTCCAGGCACACGGAGACCATTGCCTTTCACGTGGCCACACTGGCAGGACCCCCAATAATACTGGGAATGAGCTGGCTGGCACTGCATGATCCAGTAGTGTTATGGCATCAGCGGTCAGTCACCTTTGGGTCAGCTTACTGCTTAGGACACTGTCTGGGAGGGGAGAACCCAAGAATGACAGTAGCCAGGGTTGCTGGGCTGGCCGTGGAACAACAAGGGGAGGTGCCACCACAATATGCTGATGTGAAGAAGGTCTTCAGCGGACTGCCCCCCACACAGGCCCTTTGACTGCCAAATCAACCTACTCCCAGGGGCTTAGTTGCCGGTGGGTAAGCTGTACGCCATGTCAGACCGGGAGATGCAGGAGTTGCGGCAGTTTATTGATCAGAACCTGAAGAGGGGGTTCATAAGGGAATCAAAGGCGGTGGGGGGCAGTCCGGTGTTCTTTGTAGACAAAAAGGGGACCAATCAGCCCAGGTTGGTCGTAGATTATAGGGCCTTGAACCTGGTGTCTGAACCCGTGACCTTCCCAATGCCAAGGATTGATGACATTTTAACCCGGGTGAGGCAGGGGAAGATTTTTACCAAGCTGGACCTCAGGGGGGCATACAATTTAATTAGGGTAAGGGATGGGACGAATGGAAAACGACCATGTTCACCCCCTGGGGGCCTTTGAGTGCTTAGTCATGCCATTTGGATTACAATCGGGCTCCGCCTGTTTTCAAGGATTCATGCACCACGTGTTGGGGCCCCTGCTGTACAAGAATTGCGTAGCCTTTTTGGATGACTTCTTAATCTATTCGGACAATGAGAAGCAACACGTCAGAGATGTCAGGGAAGTGCTACAGAGACTGCAGAAGCATCAGTTGTGGGTCATGCTGGAAAAATGCCAATTTCACGCCAGGGAGGTCGAGTTTCTGGGGTACAAGTTGTCAGACAAGGGCCTAGCTATGGACCCAGGCAAGGTGAAGGCAGTGCTGGAATGGAAAGCCCCCAAAACCCGGAAAGATGTGCAAAGGTTCTTAGGCTTCAGCAACTTCTACAGGAAGTTCATAAAGAACTTCGCTCACGACTTCCGGGGTGGCGCCATCGGTAATGGCGGACTCCCTCTGAACTGGAGGGACTAGCTCCGCGCGAAACGGGTCTTTTCTGCTACGGCGAAGCGGGGACCCTTTTAAAAATCACAGGCGGATGAAGCCTGTGACCATGGGACTTGGCGGGCACCCTTAGCGCCCCCCCAACCCGCAAAGGAACCCACTAACGGGCTCCGAAGTGAAGAGGGGGAAGTGGTGCGGTGCTGTGAGTCAACTGCTATTTCCGTGGAGCGAAGCCGCATAGCCGTTGCCGGAGAGCGCTGCCTTTTTCCTGGGACAATTTGGATTCTAAAATAAGCACCCGTGAGTACTTAAACTTTGAACAACTGGACTTTAAATAAGGACTTGCGAGCAGAAAGGAATTGGACTTAAAAAATTATTTCAATTTGGTACTGAAACGGGAAGGTCTAAACAGGAAGTCAGCCTTCCGTTTCTTTGTAGACAGATAAAGCAAAGACAACGTAAACTAGAGCTCAGAAAATCGCCGCCAAAGGATTGGCTTTCATCATTTAAAATTGTGGAACCCCCCTTCAGCAGCAGGAGAAGAAGGGGGATCTTTTTCGGACTGTTTAAACCTGCAGAAGTGAGTTTAAAGTAAAGTAACTTTCCACCGTCCTGATCCTGGAGCGGGGTGTCAGGACTGACGTTTGAAGCTCATTGACCAGAGACAAACGTTGTTGACAGATAGCTAAAAGAAGAGAAACACAGTGATTCCACTGTTCCCTTTCGCAGTTTAAAGGAACAAATATTGACAAAATATCTCAAAAAGGAAAACTTTGTTGCAAGAACAAATAGAAGTTTTCCCCCTAGAGGGAGACTGTGAAACTGTAACTAATTCCAGGGAGCTGGCAGCTGTTACAGATTACAATCGTGGGAAATAGACATCTGACCTTGCAGGACAATGTATTCAGAAGCTCTGTTGTGTGCTTTCTATAAAACAAATGCCCTACTGGAACAGCTACATGAGAAGACGAATTTGATGGTGAATTCAATTAGAAACTTTGAACAGGTAGTGGGAAACTTTGAACAGACAGTGGGAAAATATGTGGAGCCCACCCAGGAATTAAATCAGGAGTGTGTCTTGACAGAACAGGCCCAACAGGAATATGAGCTTTCGGATTTGACAAATGAACTTGGAAAAAGCCAGATTTGGAAAGAAAAAGTTTGGTTTGGCTTCGAAATGGGGGGCTGGATTGCCCCCCCCCCCCATGCAGGGATGTTTGGACTTTTCAAGTCTGGCAATGGGCCGTGAGATGTTTGGGATTGTGGGGGCTCTTAATTTTGGAGGGATTTTGAAACATGTTTTTAAAAACCACATGGAATTTAGTGTTGATTATGGTAAAGGGGCTGATCTGTCGAGAAGGGTCAGAAATATTGTTAAGCTGGAGTTCCCACGAGCAGGAGACAAGGGAAAATACAGTTACAAATATGAAGAAGAACTGCGGAAGGGACATGGAAGAGACTTAAGGGCCTCGGATATAAGGTTACCCGGTTAATGCGCTAGATCGACGGGATAATAAGGACTGACTAAACCCGGGACCAGGAGGAAGGGATGCTGGATGAAGATTGGATTTGTTTTTATTTCTTTTTATTACTACTAGGACTGTTTTATAAAATTGATGAATGTTAGAAAAATGTTGGAATGAAATTACTCGGCTTTAGTAAAAATGTTTAAAGAATTATGAAAGAATATTATGGTGATGAGAAGTTGGTAAAGATAAGACTTAAGTTTTAAGTTTCAAGGTTTTTTATAGTAAGATAAGATTAAAATAGTTTAAGGTAATGTAATGACAGAATATTATGAAATATGGAAAGGGTTTGCTCTGACAATTAATAGCTAGGATACAAAAAAAGGGAGGAGGAGGAGGTCAAAGAAAGAAGGTTATGACAGTTGAGGATTTGAGAATAATGGATAATAATACTGGGCTTTTCTGTTTCCCAAAATGATTAGCAGTAGTGCTTGCTTTTATTTGTTTGCTTCTCTCTGGTGCCTTGTCAAAGTGGAATCTGCAAAACCTCAAGTTCAGCATGGCCAGATGACTCAAACTAACTCAGCACATGAAGTACAAAGATAATACTCAACTTCAGTTAAATTTGGTAAGAGATTTTGCACTGTGTTATTTCTTGAAATATCTTCCTGGAACACTTACATGAAAATAGCCTAAACAAAATGCACACGAATCTGAATTGTATCTGAAGAAGTGTGCATGCACACGAAAGCTCATACCAATAAAAAATTTAGTTGGTCTCTAAGGTGCTACTGGAAGGAAGTTTTTTTATTTTGTTTCGACTACTGCAGACCAACATGGCTACCTACCTGTAACTAGAAATATGAAAATAGCCTCTCAGCTTTACAGGTCTTGGTCTTAGCTATAAGCTTTCCAGTAAGGCCACAACAAGCCCGTCTAGTGACTGGGAAGAGCACAACTCCATACTCAGGATCTGCCAACTAAGCGACCCTAGCGTTCAGTGAGACACTGGCAGAACAACAGCTATGCCACCCCATGACAAATATGCTAGATAGTGGAACATCTCAGATAATCCAACAGAATGGCTGAAATGGAGTGGAACAGTGGGTCGGATGTAGGCAGCAGAGCAGAGGAGCACATTTACACTGTGTCCTTTACTCCTTCAATCCATGACCATTCTCTTAACAACTGCCACAAAGAGGAAGGATTATGGTACCTGCCCCCACACTGATGACTACCCCACCTACATTGCCAAAACAAAACACCAGATATAGTGTAACCTAGCACCTAATCATAATGCACCACCATGGTATAGAAATGCCATGTAGGATGGCCATAGCTCAGATGATAAAGTATCCAATATGGTCCTACATCTGCAGGTAAGAGACACAGAGATATCACAATGTGAACTCTGGTGCACAAAAAAGGAAAACCTTATGAAAAGCAGTCTGGCCTCGCAATACATGTGGGAGCTTGAACACATTGCTAAAACATTTTCTAGAACCCTAAGGGTTAATTCAGCTTGGAACTTCCAACCCAACCCTATTCCACTCCCGTTTGGACTTCTGAAGTGCAACCAACATGGGACTGACTCTGAAAAGGACTCAGAAACTTCAACTGGCTCAAACAGCCCCATACTCAGGATCTGCCAACTAAGTGACCCTAGCGTTTTACTTTCTTGGGTTCCATGATCACTGCAGATGGTGACAGCAGTCATGAAATTAAAAGACGCCTGCTCCTTGGGAGAAAGGCGATGGCAAACCTAGACAGCATCTTAAAAAGCAGAGACATCACCTTGCCAACAAAGGTCCGTATAGTTAAAGCCATGGTTTTCCCAGTAGTGATGTATGGAAGTGAGAGCTGGACCATAAAGAAGGCTGATCGCCGAAGAATTGATTCTTTTGAATTATGGTGCTGGAGGAGACTCTTGAGTGTCCCATGGACTGCAAGAAGATCAAACGTATCCATTCTTAAGGAAATTGGCTCTGAGTGCTCATTAGAAGGACAGATCGTGAAGCTGAGGCTCCAATACTTTGGCCACCTCATGAGAAGAGAAGACTCCCTGGAAAAGACCCTGATGTTGGGAAAGATTGAGGGCACAAGGAGAAGGGGATGACAGAGGACGAGATGGTTGGACAGTGTTCTCGAAGCTACAAACATGAGTCTGACCAAACTGCGGGAGGCAGTGGAAGACAGAAGTGCCTGGCGTGCTCTGGTCCATGGGGTCATGAAGAGTCGGACACGACTAAACGACTATACAACAACAATAGGGAGCAGGTGACTTCCTTGCTAGAACAGCTTCACAGGCTACTGGTCTGTTTCCAGGCACAAGTCAAAGTGCCTGGAAACATTTTGTGATAAAATATTTTGTGATAAAAATTTGCATTTAAATACAAATTTCCACATGGAGCTTTTTTAAATAAATAAATCACAGATTAATATGAAAACAAGACTCACCCACCTCTGTCAACTGGAATGTTCTTCAATCAACAACATAATCTAGACTGATTCCCTAAAGTCCTTTCCACCGTCTCTAGGAACTCTGGGAACCATGAGCAATGCCACCCATAGCTTCTTGCAGTCCTGGATAATACAGAACAAAACTCCTAGAACTTTCTAGGGCATAATGAAAGCCCCATCACTAAGACCTTCCTGTAGTCATCAGCAGGACAAATCAGAAAAGAGATGGAGTAGTGAGGATCCTCAGGTGGCAGATCTTGTAGTACCATTAAAACACAATAAACACTGATTGCTTTGTATATTGTTATAATTTACCACCAGTAAGCGGTGCCATTTAGATTTTTAACACTACCAATCTAGCTATGCAGCACCCTTTCTATCAACACAGGTGTTCTTGTTCGGAGTGAGGGAATCTGTTTCTATCCAAAATCCTCTGCTTCTTCTCTAATAAAGCAAGTTCATTTTGTTCATCAGTAAGGGGAAAACAGCATATAATTTCAGACACTAACATATGCAAACTGTGTTTACTTGAGAGTTTCACTAGCACCCAAGAAAAGGAGTATCCAGGTCCTCTTGTGAATCAGGAATTGGTTAAGGTGCAGAAAGCAGAGAGAAGGAATAAATGGACAGTTCTCTGCCAATAAGCAATATTAAGACCTGTGCTTCTCAATTTGTTCATAAGTGAGCTAGAGATGGGTGGCCAAGATTGCTGACAATGCTAAATTCTTCAGGGCCATTAAAACATATAGAGGTTGTGAAGAGCTCCACTAGATGTCATGATTCAGGACAGATAAAAGAAATTCCTTCTTCACACAGCACATAGTTAAACTATGGAACTCACTCATGAAGGCCACCAGCTGGGGTGGCTTTAAAAGAGGCTAGTGATAATGCTAGCAATGATGGCTCTGCTCTACCTGCACAGCTAAAGGCAGCAATGCTTCTGAATACCAGTAGTTGAAAAGAAAAGGAAGGGAGGAGATTCTTGTGCTCGGATCCTGCTTGTGGCTTTCCCAGAAGAGGCATCTGGTTGGCAATGGGGAGAGCAGGCACTTGGCTTGATCCAGCAGACTCATAAAATAAAGGGCCACACCGAGAAAAGTGAACTGAGGCTTCCAAAGTGGTGGAAAAATAATATCAGTAAATCAATTTTGTATTCCTCTTTCTCAGTTGGTTGAAATACATTTCATCTCTTAAATGCATGAGTAGCCTTGATTCAAAACAGTGGGAAATCACATTGAGAACTTGAATGACAACTAGGGCAAGAGGTCAAGCCTACTAAGGCAGATGGAGGGAGAAGAGCCAGAGGGTTTATCTCCCCTGAATTTCACATTGGTTATATTGCTGTTTCATCAAAAATAAAATGGCACGAGCAATTTAAAGAGAAGTGAGTAGGGTCTACAAATATGCAGTAGAATATACTGAGCAAATATTTGCTTTTTCTTAGAATAGCTGTGAATTAGAAACACAATGCTCATCATTTCATGACCAAAGGAACAGTGAGTGGGGGTGGTCAGAGACTTTGTGAAAAGTAGGGAAATACCTCTAGGGTGCCACTACATCCATGCACAAAACAAAATGACAGATAATAGAATCATAGAATTGTAGAGTTGGAAGGGACCCAAAGGGTCGTCTAGTCAACCCCCTGCAATGTTGGAATCTCATCTAAAGCATCCATGGCAGATGGCCATTCCACCTCTGCTTAAAAACCTCCAAGGAAGGAGGGTGCACCACCTCACATGGGAGTCCATTCCACTGTCAAACAGCTCTTACTGTCACTGAGGAGCTTCCTTTGATGAAATTGAAAAGGCATTGGCTGGTAGTTAAGCAACTTAAATCTTGCTCTGGAACTGGCTGAGAATGTTTTCAGATTAATTACGGTGTCTGCCACATGGCTGTGGGAACAGCAAATAGATCCACTGCATCCTCAAAGAGGTGCCCAGCAGAGTTGTTCAATGTGACCTGGAGGCTGGTCATGCCTGACCAGGGGGTGAGACCTCTGGAGCATGTGGTGGCTACCTGTAATCGGCTGGCTAAACATTTTGAAGATAAAGTTGCTTGGGACTGCAATGGTGCAGATACTGCTCCTGTGGCCATGCCAACTCAGGTGTCCAACATTTTATCAAAGCCATGGTTGAGGGATCAGTTCTAGTGAATGCAGCCTGGTTATATGTATAGGATGCATGTATAGGATGCAATGATGTATCCAGCCATCTGCTCATTAGATCCTTGCCTGCCCTGGCTTGTGAAACTGAACTGAAATGGGGTGACTGATGGGCTCAGAGGTGTGGTAGTCACAGCATTGCATGATGGTGTGCTGCTACCTAGAATCATAGAATCATAGAGTTGGAATAGACCACAAGGGCCATAGAGTCCAACCCCCTGCCAAGCAGGAAACACCATCAGAGCACTCCTGACATATGGTTGTCAAGCCTCTGCTTAAAGACCTCCAAAGAAGGAGACTCCACCACACTCCTTGGCAGCCAATTCCACTGTCGAACAGCTCTTACTGTCAGGAAGTTCTTCCTAATGTTTAGGTGGAATCTTCTTTCTTGTAGTTTGGATCCATTGCTCCGTGTCCGCTTCTCTGGAGCAGCAGAAAAAAACCTTTCTCCCTCCTCTATATGACATCCTTTTATATATTTGAACATGGCTATCATATCACCCCTTAAACTCCTCTTCTCCAGGCTAAACATGCCCAGCTCCCTTAGCCGTTCCTCATAAGGCATCGTTTCCAGGCCTTTGACCATTTTGGTTGCCCTCCTCTGGACACGTTCCAGTTTGTCAGTGTCCTTCTTGAACTGTGGTGCCCAGAACTGGACACAGTACTCCAGGTGAGGTCTGACCAGAGCAGAATACAGTGGCACTATTACTTCCCTTGATCTAGATGCTATACTCCTATTGATGCAGCCCAGAATTGCATTGGCTTTTTTAGCTGCCGCGTCACACTGTTGGCTCATGTCAAGTTTGTGGTCAACCAGACTCCTAGATCCTTTTCACTTGTACTGCTCTCAAGCCAGGTGTCCCCCATCTTGTATTTGTGCCTCTCATTTTTTTTGCCCAAGTGCAATATTTTACATTTCTCCCTGTTAAAGTTCATCTTGTTTGTTCTGGCCCAGTTCTCTAATCTGTCAAGGTCGTTTTGAAGTGTGATCCTGTCCTCTGGGGTGTTAGCCACCCCTCCCAGTTTGGTGTCATCTGCAAATTTGATCAGGATGCCCTTGAGTCCATCATCCAAGTCGTTGATAAAGATGTTGAATAAGACCGGGCCCAAGACAGAACCCTGTGGCACCCCACTAGTCACTCTTCTCCAGGATGAAGAGGAACCATTGATGAGCACCCTTTGGCTTCGGTCAGTCAGCCAGTTACAAATCCACTGAGTGGTAGCATAGTCAAGACCGCATTTTACCAGCTTCTTTACAAGAATATCATGGGGCACCTTGTCAAATGCCTTGCTGAAATCAAGGTAGGCTACATCCACTGCGTTCCCTTCATCTACCAGGCTTCTAATTCTGTCAAAAAACGAGATCAGGTTAGTCTGACATGACTTATTTTTCAGAAATCCATGCTGACTATTGGTGATCACAGCATTCCTTTCTAGGTGCTCACAGACTGTTTGCTTAATGATCTGCTCCAGAATCTTCCCTGGTATTGATGTCAGACTGACTGGGCGGTAATTATTTGGGTCCTCTCTTTTCCCCTTTTTGAAAATAGGGAAAACATTTGCCCTCCTCCAGTCTGCCGGGACTTCGCCTGTTCTCCAGGAATTCTCAAAGATGACTGCCAGTGGTTCTGAGATCACATCTGCCAGTTCTTTTAATACTCTTGGATGCAGTTCATCTGGCCCTGGAGACTTGAATACATCTAAACTAGCCAAGTATTCTTGTACTATCTCCTTAGTTATTCTGGGCTGTGTTTCCTCTGCTGAATCATTTGCTCCAAATTCTTCAGGTCGGGCATTGTTTTCTTTATCGGAGAAGACTGAGGCAAAGAAGGCATTGAGGAGTTCAGCCCTTTCTGTGTCCCCTGTTTGCATTTCACCATCTTCTCCTCTGAGTGACCCCACTGTTTCTTTGTTCTTCCTTTTGCTACGGACATACCCATAAAAGCCTTTTTTGTTGCTTTTAACCTCCCTAGCAAGCCTGAGTTCATTCTATGCTTTAGCTTTTCTGACTTTGTGTCTACACGTGCTGGCTATTTGTTTGAATTCCTCTTTGGTGGTTTCCCCCCTTTTCCATTTTTTGTACACATCCTTTTTAATCTTAACTCAGTTAAAAGTTCTTTAGATAGCCACCCTGGCTTCTTTAGGCACCTTCCATGTTTCCGTCTCATTGGTATTGACTGACGTTGTGCTTGTACTATCCCCTCTTAACAAACTCCCAGCCATCATGAACTCCCTTTCCTTTTAGTATTACTGTCCATGGGATCTCACCCAGCACTTCCCTAAGTTTTATGAAGTCGGCTTTCTTAAAGTCAAGAAATTGAGTCCTAGTATGCTTGGCTGCTCCTTTCCGCTGTATAGTAAACTTCAGAAGAGCATGATCACTCGCGCCTAAAGATCCTTCCACTTCTACCCCACTAACCAGGTCATCAACATTGGTTAGGACCAGATCTAAAATGGCTGTTCCTCTTGTTGCTTCTCCCACTTTCTGGACAATGAAGTTGTCTGCAAGGCCAGTGAGGAATCTGTTTGACCTTATGCTCTTGGCTGAGTTTGACATCCAACAAATATCCGGGTAATTGAAGTCCCCCATTACTACTATCTCCCTTCCTTTTGCATGCTTGGCCATCTCTTCCAGGAAGGCATCATCTATGTCCTCCGTTTGGCTTGGGGATCTATAGTAAACTCCCACAATGAGGTCTCTGTTATTCTTCTCTCCCTTAATTTTGACCCAAATGCTCTCACTTTGGCTTTGAGGTTCTGAATCTTGGATCTCTTCACAAGTATACACATCCCTGACATATAACGCCACTCCTCCTCCTTTCATGTCTGGTCTGTTTCTCTGAAATAGATTGTATCCCTCCATTATTACATTCCAATCGTGGGACTTATCCCACCAGGTTTCAGTGATGCCTATTATGTCATATTTAGTTTGCTGTACCAAGAGCTCAAGCTCATCTTGTTTATTTCCCATGCTTTGCGCATTAGTGTACAGACATTGAAGTCCATTAATCATTCCCCCGTGTCTCTTATTTAAGGATTTTTTCCTCCCACCACTAGGTCTGCATGCTGTTTGCTCCATTTGGTCTATGACATTTGGATGATCATCTTCATCAATGATAGACTCCTACCTTCAGGAGCACTGTCTCCCTCCCCCATATTAGTCAGTTTAAAGCCCTCCTGATGAGGTTTCTGAGATTTTTGGCAAAAACATTCCTCCCAACCGTTGTGAGGTGCAGCCCATCGCTTGCCAGAAGTCCATCTTCAAGAAACTGCAGTCTGTGATCTTAGAATCCAAACCGTTCCTGTTTACACCATTTGCGAAGCCAGCTGTTCACTTCCACTATTTTTTCCTCTCTCCCTGGGCCACATCGTTCAACCGGGAGGACAGATGAGATGACAATATGTGCGTTTAATTGCTTCAATTTCCTGTCCAGAGCCTCGTAGTCTCTTTTGATCTTCTGGAGGCTATTGCTTGCAGTGTCATTGGTTCCCACATGAACCAAGAGGAAAGGGTATTTGTCAGTGGGTTTTATGATTCCTTGCAGTCGTTCAGTTACATCTTGGATCTTAGCCCCAGGGAGACAGCACACCTCCCGAGACATCTTGTCAGGCCCACAGATCACTGCTTTTGTTCCCCTCAGTAGGGAATCCCCTATCACCACTACACGCCTGCTCTTAGGTTTGGTCGGGGTTCTTCCGTGAGCTGTCCGTTCCAAGGTCGCCTGCACATTCCCTGAGGACTGACTTTGCTGGTTGTCTTCATATACCTGATCGACTGTAATGAGGGAGAGATCCTCAAATGGAGTCTGTTCTTCGTCTTCCATGTTAGGGGAGAGGACTTCAAAGCGATTGTGTATTTCTAAACAATCAGAGCGAACCCTGGGCCTCCTACTTCTTTGAGTCATGTTTCTCCATATATCTGGCACCTGTGTTGGTGAACTAGCCTCCTTCTCAGGGGTGTCCCCATCTCCTCCTTGGTGAAGACGGTGTTCTCTGTTGCTTCCAAGAAGAGCTCCAGCTCTCTAATTCTTTGGAGCGTAGCTACATGTTCCTCCAGTTGCTGGACCTTGTCTTCTAAGAGGGCAATCAACATACAATTGCTGCAGGTAAAGCTGCCTGCAACCTTTGGCAAGATGGCAAACATTGCGCAGGAACCGCAGGCGACTGCAGCTGTTCCCTCCCCCTCCATCTTGAGAACGTGTTGTTGGGGGTGGCTACAGTGGTCCTCCATCTTAAAAAGCATGAAGACAGGACAAATAACCCCCCCCCAAAAAAAAACCTAGGTCTCCCCCAACAAACGTTTGAGACTAGCTCCCCTAAATCTAAAAGATGGATCAAACTGTGCGCGCCGCTGCCCTGCAAGCTCTGATAAGCTCCTCCCACAGGTAATCACCTGACTCAACAGAAACCCTGCCCCCTCTGACCTTTGCACAGGGAGAGCAGCTAATCAGCCACAAAAAACACACACACAAGAAAACCCTTTTGCTCCTCCTTCAGCTGCTGCCCTGCAAGCTCTGATCTGAAAGAGGCTATGATGTATCCACTTCTTTAAAAGCCCACTCTGTATCCAATGGAGTGTAATAACTATAGACTAGTTGGTGATTATATCTCAAAAAGCATCCCAATACGTAGAGAAGAAACAGACAAATCACTTTTCAAAATATAGAGTTCATTTTCTAGTTGTAATAGCTCCAGCTGCAACAACAAAAACCTGAAATCTGACTAAAATAAAGATTGCTGATCTATTTAATCCAGACCTTTATTTCTTCATGGTCAAGCTCTTAAGGCAATGTGTTCTGCAACTCTTTAGCGGAAACAATTTGTGGATAGCACCAATACACTCTTACCTAGGAAAATTTCTCCTAATCCCTAGAATAGTTTTGTGTTTAATTGAAAATAATAATAAAGTGGCAAATGAACAGATAAAGGAATACACATACACTAATAATCATTAAAAGATTAATGGCCCATCTGAAGAATGAGGACAAGGGCAAGGCTGACACATAATATTGAATCGAACTTCGTTCCTGTATGTGTGAAAACCTGAGAGAAGGCTGGGTTACTTGCACATTTGAAGAACTTGTCATAGGTTCTCTTTTTATTAAATCTACCATAATTTAAAAACAAAAAAACAAAAAAAACCATAGCTTGGTTGATAAAACTAACATATTATTAATCAGAAAATTACATGATTCAACTTGTCCTAAAAATTTTGGGCAACTATATTAAATGAAATTAAAATAATAAAGGGATACAAATTGCAATTAGATTAACCAATTATATAATTTTGGTGACCTAAGCCTAACAAAAGACACAAACATGATAAAATAACCTTTTAGTAATGATATGGATAACAATCTGTGCAAACTGGGAAACTAATAACCCCATTGTTGTGAAATTCACCAATATGGTGAAGGTTAGAGAAGCAGTTTTTTGAAAAACATTTTTTTGAAAAATGGAACAGGCTTGTTAGGTACTGATTAAAAAACTTGGGGGGAAATGTACATTACTGGAGCCATTGTAAAAGGAGTAATAATGTATCTGATACGATTATGTTATGATGCTCCACTGCTGATAGAGCATCACTAGTTACAAATTTGCTACTGGGCCAGGTTCAAGGTTTTCGTGCTAATTCACAGGGTCCAAAACAATCTGGGTCCAATCTGACTCCCTAATAGAGGTTTAGCAGGAGTCATCCCTTCATCATCTGAAAACTGTATTGTTCAGACAGGCCTTTCGAACTTCAGATTCTTTGCCATCCAGCTTTTACTGATGTATTTGATGTTCCTATTGATTTTTGTTGTTGTATTGTGTTTTAAGGCTGCATTCCACCTTGCAATATTTTATATGAAAGTGGGGTTTCGAAATATTTAAATAAATAAAATACATACAATTAAAAAAAATATTAATAGCATGAGTAAAAACAAACATTCTTGAGCAAAACTTGCTCTGTTTCTAAAAGCAGGACACATATGAGTTGATTAATGTAGCTGATAAAGCACAGATGTCCTACACAGACATTTGCAAGATGTGGAAAACTTACATTAAAGCAAGTACAGATTTCTGTAATTTTAAATATCACACCCAAGTCATGTGAAACAAAATGGATTAAATTAGATTTTAACATGAATTGATCAGATCAAATGCTATCTTAGAATCCTAGACAGGTCTTGCATCCTCCACTGTTACATATGCTGTATGTCACTTCTCTACTGAAAGCAGATTTCATGTCTATTAAAGGTGAAACTTCCATATCCTACAAATTCAGACACCACTTCACCTGTTTAGGACTACAAGCTCAACATCAGAATGCAATACGATCCTAAATAGAAAAAACAGGCTATACTCCTTTCAGAATTGGTATACATGTTATGGTAGACATATAGATTAGGTATGGGGAATACTTTCAGTACACTAGTCCATTTACCTGGCAGGAAAATATTGTTAATCTGTCTAGCATTTGATTGCACTCAAATATTGTGTGCCAAGGCCCCATGACCCACTCTTACCTAGTGATTAATAAACACATGGACACAAGTATGTAGGTTTATGGGTTCAAATAGGCCACAACTTTATTGGTTACAGATGTGAGCGGTTTGGTTTAGGCAATGGGTTAGGCTACATCACGACTCCCACCCATCTGCAGGGAGTGAATTTAAGGTTAAACCACCAATAGGGTGGGCCTTATGGCTTACATCAAATAGGGGCAGCCCGAGGGATCCCCGTTGGGGTCATGGCATGGCCCTAGCTCACGTCCGGGCATCAGACAGGATGCACACCCCCAGATCCCTTTAACAGGATACCCTTACTGAGGAGGGGTAGATGCAGGCTACAACTTTGCTCCAACCAAACAAAGGATTACCCAATGTCTAACCACACAAATATGTGATGATTGCTACCAGGTAGGTGAAAACCAAATGGTTGGCGCCAATTTGCCAAGTGGAAAAAATTCCGACCTGGTCCCAACAATTTGGCCGCTGAAATTTGTCCACAGCAAGGTCGTGTCAGAGCAAAGCATGAAGAAAGACCAAGTGGATTGGGAGATCCAGCAAAAGGGTGAGAGGAGGGGGCCCCGGCAGCACCACAGTTAAATTTCCTGTGGCCACTCCCCCTACCAGTGCTGATTGGCCAGCGGGGCCACACTGGGCATGGTACCGCCCAGCACCGGTGATGGACAGGGATGGCACGGGGGCGGCGTCAACTCCCCACCCCCATGCCGGATCACTGCAGGGGGCCAGATGCCTGGCTGCAACACCACCCACTGAAAAAAGTGAGTGGACTTGTCAAATATGCCTTGAAGCCAAGAATGCCCATGTGTAGGTATTTTTTTTTTTTTTTTACTGCCTCATATTGTCAAACTCTAGTAAATGTTTCTTCTCTCCTGGTTTGCTGTTGTCTGGAAGGACACAAAACCTTTTTTTTTTCCCTTCTATTAAATGTGCTATGTGTGCGTTAGTGGTTAAATTTCTTTTTGTATAAAAAAAATCATAGTGGTGTGAACTATCCAAAGGACTCAAGAATAAAAGCCTAGACTAACTGTTCAGTGTCTTGAATATTATTAATATATATTTATATTCACATAACACTTTAAGACTGAAATAGTTGATCACAATAGTGTAAAATTTCATATCATTGTCTCATAATAGTTAACTAAATTAAGCTTAAATCTTAAAAAAGTAAAAAAAATACAGTTCTTCTAAACTAACAGGAATAATTACGTGCCAACATCTGACTACTGCCAGGTCAAAAAATCAAGTGTTTTTGACCAGTTTAATTACCAATGTGAACTACATGATCCACAGATTCCCTTCAATTCTGCAATTCTTTTCAGAAAGAAAATTATTTCAGCCACAGGGCAGAACTGCTAACTCATATATTCCAAAGCCCTATACAGAGTCAAGCTGCCACTGAGGAGGAAATCAAATCACAAGTCAGGAAATAGCCATCATCACTGAATAACTATACAGTTCAAGCAGCTGAATGAAAATTAACAGATATTTTGAAAAGGATTCTAAACATAAATAAGCAATCAGTGACATTTTTGGGGGAAAGCAAAAGTGAATTTGGAAAACTCAGCAGTAGTTGGGATTTCATTCATTAGAACAAGATTTCATTCTTTCATGGGCAACAACAAAAACTTAACAGTCATCCCACTCATGCTCAGAGGAGTAAAGGATAGCCACACATTTTTGCACAGCATGAAAGACATATGAAAATAACAAAATAAAAGCCTTGTGGTGTTGTGCTGATAGGTGTGAGAGATTGAGTGATTATATAGTCACCTATTATACTGGATGCAAATTGGAGTACCAATTCAAAACCATATATGTGATTATAGCATTAGATTTAAATTCTTGTCAGCTACCTGAAGCAATGCCTTCAACAACATTTTGCCATTGACATCCTGAACCATGGTCTCAGCCTGCAATTGAACTCTTCTTGTAACACAGTTGGGGGAAATGCTAATCATGTGACAACACAAAATGTATTCCATTATAGATTATTCTTGCTGAGAGTGTGTTAACTAGGAAACAATGCAAATCAACATTTCCTTTAATTTTAACAGGCTCTAAAAGCTGCCACCTCAATCACTTAATAGGTTATCATATTTTCATCTTGTGACAGGCACCGTATATTTTTTATTTAGTGCTGTCAACAAAAAGCAAGCAACAGAAGCAGAGTTGGATATACAGTCAAATAAAAAAGAATTGACTATTACTGTACAATGTCATATCAAAAAATACATATATCTGTTCAATGTGATATGGCAGACACCTACATTTTGCTACATTCCTGATTTAAGTTTCTGGAATGCTATTCATCTAGAAATTTGATCTTCTATGGTAGAGAGAATCTTTAAAGAATTCAAAAGCTGTTTCTTTAATACAGAACAGTCTTTCCCCACAGTGCAGTCACCCATCTCTCCTGATCTCACAACTGCCAAGAGAATCTCTCAATGACACAAAATACCCCTGCCTACTGCTTTGCCCTCCAGCCACATCTTTGATTGATATTTACCCGCCATCCTGTTGGTTTGCTCTAAAGTTTGTCTCTATAAATATCTAAATTCCCTTCAAAGCCACATTTAATGCAATCAGTGACCCAAGTAAATGCTATTAGGGCATGGATATCTGCTGACTGATCCGCATGTTTCCAGGTTGTATGTACAGGTTCTTTATAACAATGTAAATTATCATTGCAAACAGTGTCGGCTCCAGTGTTAAGCAATGCCAGGCATTTGCCAGTGCTGTAAGAGCATCAAGGGACCCACCTCACCAGCAGAGATGCCACTCTCACTTTACACAGAACCTCAAAGAAGGCCAGATACAGGAGGATTCTCTATCTACATGCTCATGCCCTATGTCTTCCAGGTCAAGGGAAACCTCAAAATCACGAAAGCTACACCAAAATACATTTAACTCATACAGCTCTTTATTTAATCAGGGATTATATTTGGATAACCTTGCCCTGTTTTGGATGCTAAATGGGACATAGACCCATTAAAACTTCCTTTTAGATGCCTCTCTGGGCTTTCGGATCACATGTCAGGAAGCAAAATAAGCTATTTTGTTCCTTTAAAGCAATTCTTCAAAGTTATATTCTGTTTTGTAATTCTCACTTAAAATGGGTTATTTTCTTGGTCAGGAAATGATGACTTCAGTTACTGAGCTGGTACACAAGAGTGCAGTCCCCCATATAACAACAGAGGTAACTGAAAACAGAATGGGAAGACAGTTAGGACTGATGAAATGGTTCCATGATACCAACCTGACATAGATGACCTTGCTTTTGATTAACTCAAACATGAATAATTTTTGCTTTTCTATATAGTACATGTGGAAGACTCCTTATTTCAAGTCACCCAGTCAGCTACCTTCAATTGGTTTGTGCCAATTGTTTCCTGTCTAATGTTTTCAGAGGAAATTACCATTCCAGAAACCCTCTCCCTTTCATAATGTGAGTAAGTGCAATATTTATACCTTGAGTAATTCATAAAAATGTTTACATCTTGCTTTCAAAACATTATAGGAAACACTAGTTTCCAGTAGTAACTTTTAGCCTCAATGCAAAATATGTATACTCAGAAGTAAGGTAAAGGTAAAGGTAAAGGTAAAGGGACCCCTGACCATTAGGTCCAGTCGTGGCCAACTCTGGGGTTGCGGTGCTCATCTCACTTTATTGGCCGAGGGAGCCGGCGTACAGCTTCCTGGTCATGTGGCCAGCATAACTAAGCCGCTTCTGGCAAACCAGAGCAGCGCACGGAAACACCGTTTACCTTCCCGCCGGAGCGGTCCCTATTTATCTACTTGCACTTTGACGTGCTTTCGAACTGCTAGCTTGGCAGGAGCAGGGACCGAGCAATGGGCGCTCACCCCGCCGCGGGGATTCGAACCGCCGACCTTCTGATCGGCAAGTCCTAGGCTCTGTGGTTTAACCCACAGCGCCACCCGCGTCCCTTAGAAGTAAGTTACATTGATCTAAATAGGATTTACTTCCAAGTAAGTTTGATAGTTTGAAGCCTAAACACTTACTAGGGAGTTCCATTTATCTCCTGAATAAGCTGAACAGAAGACAACCATGCAGACAAGAGAGTTAGAAAACTTTTAAGCAAGATAATATATATATCCACAGGAAACGGTAGAGAAATTTTGCTGCTTTGTTCATTTTTTTTAAAGAGAGCAGATGCAATTCAAGGCTGTGCACTCACACCTAGGTGTGGAGGAGAAATCTGAAGCAGCTCACATTTAAAGAGGAACCCATCCAACTGACATTTTGGAAACAACAGGCAATCAAAACACAGCCATCCGTTGACATTTATATTAGGAGACAACGGCAGGCAAAAACGTAGATTTGACAAAACAATATTCAAAAATGTGTTTATTATGAGAAATGCACACTAAAATGCTGGCAAATTTTCATGAGGCTCAGAAATGAATTTAAGATTGGAAAAATCAGCAACCAGCATGTGAACTCCTGCCTGTTCTTATTCTAACAAGCTTTTGAGAACTGACAGCTTTTAATGAAAGGCTGGCTGCTGTGCTGTTTTTATGGTAATTGTCTGCATGTTTTAAAAAGATATTCTATTTTTATATATAGCATTTATTCTATAAATGCTTATTTTTTACAAAATTATTGTTCTCCTTAACCCCCCCCCCAATGTTTTTAGCTGTTCCAATTTTATATGTAAGCTGCCTTGGGCCCCTTTCAATGAAAAATGTAGGGTATAAATAAATATATATATAAGAATATCAGAAGAAACCAAGAGAACACAGATTCCTCCATCTCCACCCACATGACTTGAAAAGCATATATTGCTTGGACTCCCTTTGGGCACAAAATGTTGTGGGATTTCATAAATATGTAAATTTTATTGTATAACTTAACTGAAAATGGGCTGCTGGCACATGCTTTGGCACAGATGATGATGCTTTCACAGAAATCTATTCTTTGAAGTTCAACTGTTCACATATTTTCCTTTTTTCTCTGAACCTCTCAGTCGTGCACTTAAAAATAGACTACCAGATAATCTGGGTAAATCATAAAGCTCAGCTTATCCCTCCCTCCATGCTTCCCTCCCTCCCTCCAAACACACAATTTATTTGGTCCACCAGCTCAGTAGCAGTGAGCCAGGAGTAATCTTGTAAGCTGGCTACATGCGTCTCCTTATGTATTTGGTGTGAGCACATATATGTGATCCGTGAGCATGTGTCCGAAATTCAGAAAGATTCAACCACAATAACCAGCCAGTATAACTTCACCTCTTTCACTGTGGGTTATGTTTGTGTGTCATGACAGTCTTAGTCAGCCAGAGAAAACAGAATCAGAAAGCACCATGGAAGAAAAAGGCTGTTTTGTTTTCACCTATATTATTATTCTCAAAATTAGATTCACCCAAGCCAACAGCTACTCATCTGTGAACTGCCAAAACAACAGACAAGCAAACCATCTCCCACCTGCCTCCCCTCTCTTCCCACCAGTGAAGATTCAGAAGGGGGGGGTGTCTCAAATCTTTAAACCTCGCCTGCTCTCTTCTCTCCTTTCCAGCTCAAGTCCCTTAGGCTGTGGACACCTGAGGAAACCCTGCAGAGCCATAAATAGCGACGGGGGGGGGGGGCTTTGCAACAGCACATTCCTGAAGATGCAGCTCTGCCACAGGATTAATGGGGGAGAGAGGGAGCCTGTGAGGGGCGGCGGAGAGAGGGGGGCACAAGCAGCTGCTATGGGGAAGCAGGGGGGCTGAATGAGAGGGTTTCCGAAAACATCCGCTTGCCTATGGAATTAGAGATGGGAAGAAAAGGGGCTCCATCAAAATATCTTCTACACGATTTCCTTCACTTCACAGAAAAGAACCTTTCCACCCCTGTCCAACCTCATTCGCTGTCAGCCTTTCGCTGTCCGTGTTTATCCCATTTATCCTACGGGTATCACTCTGCTATCTCGTTAAAAACTTGGCGATATATGCGGGGTGGATCAATATACAGTATCCTCCTCTCTCTGCACATTATCTGGGCACAGATAAGCCGTTTTCAGCAGTTCCACAAACAACAAACACTTAATAACGTAATCGTAATCCACACACATTTCAAGCACCCTGTCCTTCCACAAAAGCAGCCATGTGCTGCCAGACATTCATTCTCTTTCTCCTTCACCCACCCACTTACTTCAGCGCACCCATTTCCCACTGTATCAGCTATAGGCAGAAAACACCCCAGCCCAGTTTGCAGACCCCCTGGGCATCTTCGAGCGAGCAGCATCCCCGACACCCCGGGCAGCGCGCCATCTCATGCCAGCCCCGGCTCTATCCTGCAGGGCCGTCGGTTCCCTTTTCCAGCGCTGGGCCTGAACGGAACTTCCTCGGGAGCCCGAGGGACTCCGAGCATTCGGGGCGGCCCTTGCGACGGAGCGCAGCCCGGCCGGGCCCCGCCGGTCCTCGGTCCCCGCCCGCCCGCCCGCCGGGCGCACTCACCGTCCTCCAGAGAGACTGCCTCTTGGCGCTGGCCGAAGTGAGGGCGACGATGAGGTGCGAGGCGGCCACGACGACGCCGAAGACGATGGCCAGGAGGGTGCGGACAGGCAGCAGCGCGTACGATATGAAGGTGACCAGCAGCAGCTGCCACATGCCCTGCTCGGGGGCGCTGGGCGGCTCGGCGCCGTGCGCGCCCAGCGAGAAGGGGCAGCAGAGGAAGGCGAAGGTGAAGCTGAAGAGCAAGGTGAGCTTGACGATCTGCTGCAGCTGCGTGACCTGCAAGTACTTGACGTTGGTGACGATGAAGAGCGAGAGGAAGATGATGCAGTGCACCGGGTGCGAGCCCTTCGAGATGGTGAGTCCGGGCGCCGACAGCAGCTCCAGCAGCGCCAGGCTGCCCGTCAGCGCGATGAGCACGGCCAGCGCCTTCAGCGTCGAGGTCTGCTCCAGCTTCAGGTTGTAGTTCTGGAAGAGCGACTCCAGCTCCTTGCAAGCGAACTGGTCCTCGCACGCCGACGCGCCGTCCAGCAGCGCCGCCGCCGCCGCCGCCGGAGCCCCTCCGACGGCCGCCGCTCCCGGGCGCCGCCGCCGCTCTGGCCGCCCGCCGCCGCTGGCGCCGGCCCGGGAGGAGAGGAGGCTGCGGAGCAGCGGCGGCGGCAGCAGCAGCAGCAGGAGCCGCAGCGGCGGAGGCACTTCTTCTTGCTCGCCTTCCTGGCTTTTTGAAACGGCAGGTCCTCCATGGCCAGGCCATTCATAAACCCGGCGGGGAAGAGAAGCGAGGCTCTGGGGCCGCCGCCTCGGCCGCCGCCGCCGCCGCAGCTGCTCCCGCTCTGCTCATGGAAGAGGCGGGGCGGGGCGGGGCGGGCGGCAGCCTTTCGCCGAACGCGGGAAAGCGGCGGCGGCGGCGAGGAAGCCCCTCCGAGCCGCGCTGCGGGAGGCGCCGAGGGCGAGGGATCCCGCGCCGGACGCCTCTTGCGCGACTAGCGGCGTTGGCGCTGCGCGCGCGAACGGCCGCCCGCGCGGAAAATCCTCTGGGCGGGCGCGGATGTCCGGCCGCCTGCCAAGCGCGCCGCCCGCAGGGTGGGCAGCATGGGGAAGGCGGCCGAGAGCGAGGCGCGGCGGCGGGGAGCGGAAGGCGGACTGGCCAGGGGATTCCCCGCCGGGCGGGACGCGCCAAGGAGGCGAGGCGGGCAGGTGATCCCGGCTACGTCCACCAGCCTCTCGGCGCGGGGCCCGGTCTGCGCCTGCGCGCTGCCGCCGCCGCCGGAGGAGCCCGACGCGTCTCCCGCACGGAGCGGATTGGCGCGCGCGCCGCGTGGTCGCCGAGCCGCGGGCTCCTCTGCGCGCCTGTCCGCGCCCCGCTGCGCGTCCACGGCCGTCTCCAGCTCCCGGGAAAGGGCTGCGCGCTCCAAGTACCAGCGGGAGGCCAGCGGGTGCCCGCCTCCCGCGCAAGCGAGAAGCACGGACTGAGCCGGGAGAAGCCAGCTAGCGGGACGGGACGGGGCGGCCTGGCTCGCTCTCCGCCTCCTTCCGCTCCCGCCTCCGTCTTTGATGTGGCCGGCCGAGGAGATTTCCTTACCTTACGATTCTACACAGAATTCCGCGAAAAGGTAACTTTGTAAAATCTACCGTGGCCATTGCTAGAAGCCGGTGTGTGTTTTCCCTTGCATTTCGAGACTAGACCCGAACCCCAGCAAAGCAGACCACAGATCTGTACTGGATCCATGGCGCCCTCTCACATCTGCCCCTCGAGCAGCCTTAAGAAAGCCGACCAGCAGCGCCCAGGGCTCCCGACCCTGCCGAGCGAGAAGCCGGGCTCGCCACCTTCCCGGACACGCCGACAAGAAGGCAAGAGCGCCGGCTCTCCCTCGCCGGAGCAACACGCTGGACAACGACCACAGCTGCCTTGCCCCAGCAAGATATGCAGCAAACCCCTTTTGAAATGGATAGCCATGTCTCATGTACCAATCCTCTTAAAAGGTATTGACTGCTGCTACCACCAAATGATAACTATCTTCCATTCTGAACTAATGATAAGACTCCCCCTTCCATCAAATGTCGAATACCTTTATCATGTGTTTTTCTAGTCTCATATGATCATAGTCCTAACAATTAGCAGTCTGGTGAGGAACTGCAGTGGGGAATAAACCATTTATTATGGAGCTACTGGGGAACATCCCATGGTCAGAATATTCAAAAGAGAAGGGAGTGCAAGATGGATGGGAGTTTCTGAAAGGTGAAATATTAAAGGCACAAATGCAGACAGTTCCAATAAGAAAGAAAAGTGGGAGGCATCTAAAGAAACCAGTGTGGCTTCATAAGGAGCTTATAGATAAGCTTAGATTTAAGAAGGGCATGTACAGTGGTACCTCGGGTTTACAGACGCTTCAGGTTACAGACGCTTCAGGTTACAGACTCTGCTAACCCAGAAATAGTGCTTCAGGTTAAGAACTTTGCTTCAGGATGAGAACAGAAATCATGCAGCGGCGGCAGCGGGAGGCCCCATTAGCTAAAGTGGTGCTTCAGGTTAAGAACAGTTTCAGGTTAAGAACGGACCTCCGGAACGAATTAAGTACGTAAACAGAGGTACCACTGTATAAGAAATGGAAGAAAGGGGAAATCACAAAGGAGGGTATACATAGAATCATAGCATCAAAGAATTGTAGAGTTGGAAGGGGCACTAAGGGTCATCTAGTTCAACCACTGCAATGCAGGAATCTCAGGTCAAGCATCCAGAACAGATGGCCATCCAACCTCTGCGTAAAAACCTCCAAGGAAGGAGAGTCCACAATCTCCCAAGAGAGACAGTTCCGCTATTGAACAGCTCTCACTGTCAGGAATTTTTCCTCATGTTTAGCTGGAATCTCCTTTCTTGTAACTTGAAGCTATTGGTTCAAATCCTACCCTTGAGAGCAGGAGAAAACAAGCATGTTCCCTCTTCCATGTGACAGCCCTTGAGATATTTGAAGATGCCTCTCCTATCCCCTCTTAGTCTCCTCTTTTGCAGGTTTGACATACTCAGCCATACTCATACCATTCCTCATGTTTTTGAATATTTTTTATTAGGAATTTCAACATAACATTTTATCAAAAATACATCATCCTCATTCCCCCCCCTTTTCCCTCCCCCCTCCCCCCAAAAGAAAACCTACCACCCACCCCCAGACTTCCGTCAGCTCCTCTCTCTGGTTTTTCAGCACATGTTATTCTCTGCATGTTATAAAATTATAAATATCCTTAATTTATCTATCTATATATTACCAATAAAAGGTTTGTGAATGTTTATTCAAAACCTGCCAAGGAGTCCAGTTCATTTTGTTGTTTCTTTAAGTACTTTGTAAAGGGTTCCCATTCTTCTTTAAAGTCACAGTTGCCCTTATCACGTAGTTTGTGTGTCAATTTCGCCAGTTCCGCATAATCCATCAATTTCTCTTGCCACAGTTCTTTGGTCAGGATTTCTTCATTCTTCCATCCTTGTGCTATTAAGACTCTTGCCGCCGTTGTCACATACATGAAGATGTTTTTCAATTTCCTTGGAAGGTCTTTTCTACAATCCCTAACAAAAGTGCTTCAGGCTTTTTTACAAATGTTAATTGGAACATTTTCTTCAACTCATTGTATATCATTTCCCAGAATTTTTAAATTTTGCTACAATCCCACCACATATGGTAAAAAGTCCCTTCTTTTTCCTTACATTTCCAACACATATTTCAACCAGTTTTATACATTCTTCTGCACTGGTGTTACATACCATCTATACATCATTTTCATGTAATTTTCTTTCAAAAGAGAACAGTCTGTAAATTTTAAATCAGTTTTCCACAATCTTTCCCAATCTTCAAGCATTATATTGTGACCTATATCTTGTACCCATTTAATCATAACTGATTTCACCTCTTCATCTTTTGTTTCCCATTCTAGCATTCCCATTCTATATGCACCTTTCAGCAGCTTCACCTTCCCTTCTATGACTTCCTTTTGGAATCTAGATGTCGTATTGCTAAATCCTTTCTTATTGTCTTCTTTGTATATTTCATGTAGTTGCCGATAGTATAACCAACTCTGAAAGTGGTCTTTTATTTCCTTATAATCTCTTAGCTTCCATTTTCCTTCTTGATCCTTTAGCAAATCAGCATACGTAAGCCACTTTCCTTTCTTTCCAAGTGGTTTGAGCAGTAAAGCTTCATGTGGTGAAAGCCACCAAGGGGTCTTCTGTTCTAACAGATCTTTATATCTCTCCCATACTCTCATTAATGATTTCCTAATTATATGGTTATAGAAACTTTTATGAACCTTCCCTTTCCCATACCATAAGTATGCGTGCCAGCCAAATCTATTGTCATGTCCTTCCAATTCTAATGCTTCTTGCTTTTCCAACTTCATCCAGTCCCTAATCCATACCAGGCATGCAGCTTCATAATACAATTTAAGGTCTGGGACGGCAAAACCGCCTCTGTCTTTTATGTCTGTAAGTATCTTATGTTTTATCTTTGGCCTTTTGCCCCTCCCCCCAATAAACTTAGAAATTTCTTTCTGCCATTTTTTAAAACATTAATCTTTCACAATTACTGGGACTGATTGGAAGAGGAATATCATTTTTGGCAGCACATTCATTTTAATCAACCATTCCTCATAACTCTTGGTTTCCAGACCCTTGATTTTGGAATGCCTTCTTTCTCTCCACATTCTCTGTGCATTTGCATGTTAATCTCAAGCATTTGTACCTTGTGTTAGGCCAGTGGGACTTTGGGGGGAAACTGTTCGTGTACCATGCACCTCTTTGCCCAGTGAAATCCTTGCTTGAACTGACTGAGGTAATTTTGGATGTGGTGTTGAGGATGGCAAAACTGTTGGTTTGGGTGATAACAACGTGCACACTGAGATTGCTTTCTCTTTGGCAGCTCAGTATTTAATGACTACCATGAAAACTATGGCTCTGTACCAAAATGTAATTGGGCCAACACATACAGCAGAACACCTCTGAGATCTAGTTTTGTTGGCTGGGCAGGTGATTTGAAGGTAGGAGACTTTGCACAGGTTTTATTGTCATGGTTAGTTCACCTCCCTTGGCAGAAGTAGGAGGAGTGTGGGAATGCTCAGGGATGCAGGAGAGGATATATTGTTTGACTATATCCTTTCCAACTTGTGTTAACAAGTTCTACAATTTAGCAGAGTAACATTCCCCTTTTTAAACTTGCACAGCGGATGTGTTTGCTCAGGCTTGCTAAAGCCTCTAAAATAAGTTACCTGGTAATTTCCCCTTTTATCCCTCATAAAAGAAATAGACATGATGCAATCTTCTATAATGACTGCTCCCCACATCAAATGGGGGGCACCTTCTGCGTGGTCGCGCGCAGCCCCCCGGATCCCAGTGCGGCTCCTGGTAGTTCGGGCTGGCTTCATCCTCCCCAGGCTGGATACCTGGAGGTCTCCGCCTACCTCAGCCAATCGCCCAATCCCGCCTGGAGAGGCGTTGCCAGGGGATCGGCCAGGTAAGGGGAAGGACCACCCTGCCCACACAACAGAAGGTGAATCTTACCTGTAAAGCGTCAGTTGGCTCCAGAGCTTCTCCCTCCCTCCCCTCCCTCAGTTAAGTCTTCTTTTGCAGGTTAACTTTTTTTCCACAGGTACGCAGGCGCTGCTACGTCAGGGTCGCAGTTGAAGGGCCAGAAAGGAATTTCCCTGCATTGGCAGGATTTGCCTTCCTCGTAGCGAAATGTCACAACTTTGGCGGTTTCAGGCCTTGGGCAGAATCCATTAGTCTGGCTTCCTACATGGGGGGGGGCGTGAAACGGTGACCCACGCCCCCTTGTGGCGGTGATCTCAGGGTTCCCCGTTAAAGGGGTCTTGAGGGGAGGCATTGGCTATACACCAAGAGGTTGTTACTACTCTCCCCTCCAACAGCGGCAAAATGAGGGGCAGGCTCAATGCTTGAACATATGTTCTCCAGAGCCAGCCCAATCCCCACACATTCTGGATAACCCTGATGTCTCCCAGATCCCCAGCTGGGGACTGGGAAGGATAAACGCCCAATGCCTGAGCCAAGGTCTCCCTACATAGCAATGGAGAATACTTCTCCCAAGGTTCTTAA